GAAGTCTGCATGTACTTGATTATATATTCTACCAAATTACTTCAGAAGTCATGTATAGGCTTCCAGCTTCAGCCAGTGTATACAAATCTATGAGAACCCTTGGTGGGGAGTCATGCCAGAAACTTAGCAGTGTGGGGCTTGGTCAGGGCTTGTATTAAAAACTAACTGACATTAGAAGTTACAATCAGGTTATGAACCTAACCTTTACTTTGAAATGAAAATAACTTTCAATTTAAATGAAGAATTTTAAAATAAGCCAGGCTCTATTAAATCCTAGTAGAGTGGTGGGATACTTTAAATGGCCAATACTGGAAGCCAGCCTCAACCTGTGGCTCTATGGGGCAGGGAACCTTAGGGCTTGATTGATCTATTAAGCTAAGCAGGGCTGGTCCAGGTCAGTGACTAGATGGGAGACCATGCTCCCTTGCCAGTAGTTCAATGCTTTTCAGCCAAACCTTTATTTTGAAACTAAACTATGCATACAGTGAAAAGAAGTTCATACTGTGGGCCTAAGCAGAACACCTAAGACAGCCAATAGGAAGTCTGCATGTACTTGATTATATTTTCTACCAAATTACTTCAGAATCATGTATAGGCTTCCAGCTTCAGCCAGTGTATACAAATCTATGAGAACCCTTGGTCTGGGATCCTGTCAGAAACTAAGCAATGTGGGGCTTGGTCAGGGCTTGTATTGAAAACTAACTGACATGAGAAGATGCAATCAGGTTATGAACCTAACCTTTACTTTGAAATGAAAATAACTTTCAATTTAAATGAAGAATTAAAAAAAAAGTCAGCCTCTATTCAGTCCTAATAGAGTGGTGGGATACTTTAAATGGCCAATACTGAAACACAGCCTCAACCTGTGGCTCTATGGGGCTGGGAACCCCTGAGCTTGCTTGAGCTGTAAAGCTAACCAAGGCTGGTCCAGGTCAGTGACTGGATGGGAGACCATGTTGCCTTGCCAGTAGTTCAATGCTTTTCAGCCAAACCTTTATTTTGAAACTAAACTATGGATACAGTTAAAAGAAGTTCATACTATGGGCCTAAGCAGAAGGCCTAAAACAGGCAATAAGAAGTCTGCATGTACTTGATTATATATTCTACCAAATTACTTCAGAAGACCTGTATAGGCTTCCACTTCAGCCAGTGTGGACAAATCTATGAGAACCCTTGGTCTGGTCTCATGTCAGAAACTTAGCAGTGTGGGGCTTGGTCAGGGCTTGTATTGAAAACTAACTGACATTAGAAGTTACAATCAGGTTATGAACCTAACCTTTACTTTGAAATGAAAATAACTTTCAATTTAAATGAAGAATTTTAAAAAAACGTCAGCCTCTATTCAGTCCGAATAGAGTGGTGGGATACTTTAAATGGCCAATACTGGAAGCTAACCTTGACCTGTAGCTCTATCGGCCTGGGGCCCTTGGGCTTGACTGCATTGTTAAGCTAAGCAAGGCTGGTCCAGGTCAGTGACTGGATGGGAGACCATGCTCCCTTGCCAGTAGTTCAATGCTTTTCAGCCAAACCTTTATTTTGAAACTAAACTATGGATACAGTGAAAAGAAGTTCATACTGTGGGCCTAAGCAGAAGGCCTAAAACAGCCAATAGGAAGTCTGCATGTACTTGATTATATATTCTACCAAATTACTTCAGAAGTCATGTATAGGCTTCCAGCTTCAGCCAGTGTGGACAAATCTATGAGAACCCTTGGTCTGGTCTCATGTCAGAAACTAAGCAATGTGGGGCTTGGTCAGGGCTTGTATTGAAAACTAACTGACATGAGAAGATGCAATCAGGTTATGAACCTAACCTTTACTTTGAAATGAAAATAACTTTCAATTTAAATGAAGAATTAAAAAAAACGTCAGCCTCTATTCAGTCCTAATAGAGTGGTGGGATACTTTAAATGGCCAATACTGGAAACCAGCCTCAACCTGAGGCTCTATGGGGCAGGGAACCCTTGGGCTTGATTGATCTATTAAGCTAAGCAGGGCTGGTCCAGGTCAGTGACTGGATGGGAGACCATGCTCCCTTGCCAGTAGTTCAATGCTTTTCAGCCAAACCTTTATTTTGAAACTAAACTATGGATACAGTGAAAAGAAGTTCATACTACAGAAGGCCTAGGACAGCCAATAGGAAGTCTGCATGTACTTGATTATATATTCTATGGGGCGGGGACCATTTGGGATTGACTGATCTGTGAAGCTGAGAAAGGCTGGTCTAGGTCAGTGACTGGATGGGAGACCATGCTGCCTTTTTTAAATGGCCACCACTGGAAGCCACCCACAACCAATGGCTTTGTGGGTCTCGGAATCCTTAGACTTGACTGATCTATTAAGCTAACGGAGGTTGGTCCTGTTCACTGACCAGATGGTAGACCATTCTGCGTTGAAAGCTGTTTAAATAAAACTTTTATTTTGAAACTAAACTTTGGATACAGTGAAAAAGAGATTTATATAGTTGGACTGAGCAGAAGACTTAAGACAGAACATAGGAAGTCTGCATGCATTATGCATTATATATTCTACTGAATTTCTTTAGAAGGCCTGTATTGGCTACCAGCTTCACCCAGTGTAGCCAAACCTATGATAACCCTTGGTCTAGTATCCCAGCTCTCTATTATGGCTCACTAAATAAAGTTTTACTTAATCACTATTTGACCGTTTAATTTACATGTTATTAATTTTTCCCAGTATTGGAGATTTTAGAGGATGCATCTCTTTAATTCATCCACTTACACTTCCTGAAATAACCAAATCAATGCTGCAGATACTGAATGTCTAATCCAGTGCCTCTAAAACTGTAAACCCATTAGAAGTGCAGGAGAGGACTGGAGCTGAATGGATTTAGAACAAGATTTGGATATGATGTAGTATTGATAATAATGACTGTATTAATTCCATTAAGTGTATTATTTAAATAATGTAATATCCTCTCTACAGTTGATTCTGACCAGTGCTCAATGTCAATGCCCTGGAAACCCACTGCACCATTTTCTCAAAATTTCTTTGAGATTTTAACAAAGTCATCCAGAGTGGTTTGGTGTGAAATGCTCTGAACTAGACATATGAAGGATTTATTGCCTGTAAGAGCTCTAACCCAAAATGATATTACAAGAAACAGTTATTTATATGCTGCTGATGTCTGAGATATTGTTTTAGAATAGTTTTCCAGCAATCTTTTGGCTTAAAACATTTTTTAAAATACACTTATGGTGGAGAGACACATGCAGGGCGTTGTAAGGCAAAATAGTCCCCAATTAAACTTATGTTTTTTTCAGATTTACCTCCATTTTACCTTCTTTATTGTTACATTTAAATACTCAGAAGACTCTTGTAGGTTCACTGGTGGTTTTCGATAATAAATTAAATCATTATGCTTGCATTGTGGGCAGCACGGTGGCGCAGTGGTTAGCGCTGTCGCCTCACAGCAAGAATGGCCTGGGTTCGATTCCCGGCTGGGTGGCCAGGGTCGTTTCTGTGTGGAGTTTGCATGTTCTCCCCGTGTCTGCGTGGGTTTCCTCCCACAGTCCAAAAACATGCAGTCAGGTCAATTGGACGTGCTAAATTGCCCCTAGGTGTGAGTGTGTGTGTGGATGTATATGTCTGTTTGTCTGCCCTGCGATGGACTGGCGACCTGTCCAGGGTGTATCCTGCCTTTCGCCCGATGACAGCTGGGATAGGCTCCAGCACCCCACCGTGACCCAGAAGGATAAGCGGTTTAGATGATGGATGTTTGCATTGTAGACACTGCAATAGTGGTGGTGATAGGAACCAGGGGTTGTGATGTCTACAACTCAAATATAGCTGTTTCATTTACTATCCAAAACCACCAGTGTATGGCAGCGTATTCCAGTCTTGCAAACATAATTGCAAAATTGCATTTTCATTTTGGCAGAGTAAATGCAATAGCAAATGGATGATTGTTTTTCCTTTTTTATTATGTCAGTGTTAGACCATTAAGACAATGAAAATGAAAAGTCAAAAGCACTTTGCTTTTCCATATTAACTTTAACAGCCATTATGCACAGACATGACAAATGCAAATACACATTTTGCATTGTATTTGAATAAAGTCTGGAATATGCTGCCAGTGAACCTAAACAAGTCCTTTGAGTTTTTATATGTAATATTTATGGTGTTAAAATAGTGGTCAATCCAAAAAAAAAAAAACAGTTTTCTTTGGGGGCTAGTTTGCTTTACAACACCCTTCTTTTATCACTCCATCATGAATTGAATACAATAAATTGATTAAAATATATTTTAGACCCCAAACTTCATCACAAAACGTCTGTGAAACAACGTCTCAGACTTCAGGCAATGTATCCATAACCATTTCATGTAACAACTCTCCATAAGGGAGCTTTTAGAGACATTGAACTCTTTAGCCGTCTGGTTCCTATCATCACCACCGTGAAAAATTCTGACTCTGTAAGTTTCTTTAGAACGAAGCATTTCACACCAAAGCACTCTGAATGACTCTGTTGACACATTAACTATTTATTTACGCAGAAATTTTGAAAAATCGGTGGAATTCTCATTTAAGTGGTTTCCCTATTTCAACCTACTGATCTAACGCGCCAGCTTTTTTTGAGTATACATTGGTCTACTACGCCATCTAGTGTTGATTAATATTATCAAACGATATATTTGAAAATAGCCTACTGTAGTTAGAATAGGAACAACCAACAAACAGTGGAATACAATGGGTTATTGATAACTGCCGGAAAATCTATTCAACCACTGAGATGTAAACATATTCTTAGCCATTTCATGCAAACGCTTTTCAAGAAGTTTCTCAAGAACTGAATATTTTAAATCAAACCATTCTGAATGGGTGTATTTACATACATGTTTGCATGTTAATTGTGCGTATTTTTTTTTGCTGGAATTTTTATTTAACAAACGGTTCATGTCTTCTTTTTCTGCTTTCATACAGGACGGTTAGGAACTCTAGTACTGTGGCTCGTTCTACTCGGGCTGCATTGTGTGCAACACAAATGACGTTCCTTTAACCCGAGTGTTCAGCTGACTTACATTTACGAAACCGTTACTAAATAAAGAATAATAACTTTTCAAAAATATGTATTTATTCAGCGTGAAAAATTTAACCCGCAGTGCCAAAGCGTGTGCTTTGCAGCGGTGGACAAAGTGGGCTTACTCGAATATCAGACTTGTTTATAAGCACAGCTTTAGCCATTCAGTGAAGTTCAGACATTGCTACTCCACTCAGCACAAACCTGTCCGTATCGGCTGCGCTTCAGGGTTTTGGGGTGACACTGCAACAGCAGGTAAACACAAGCAGCCTGACATCACACTTTCCCCACCTGCTTTCTGTTCATCCTTTGTCTTTCCCTTTCTTTCTTCTCTCCGTTTTCTTGATGTTATTCATTCATTCATGTACACAGAAGACCAAAAGTATCCAAACACCCTCTCAAGGGAATTTTTACATTTCTTCATAATAAGTTCAAAGTTATTCAGTGGTTTGGTGAGCATTGTAGAGAAACTTAAAGACTCAGATTTCTTTATAATGGTAAAAGTTATGGAGAGGAATTTGTGCCAAATTGAAAAGCAGTGGACAAACGCGAAATGCAATGTACACATGACATTACTCTTCCGTAGTGACATGCAGAGTACATGCTAAAATGAAAAGTAAAGCTTCTGTTATGTTGTTTTTTACGTCACTTGACCCCTTCACTAAAAAATGATACACAAGGATTTGCATTTTTAAAAAATGAAATGCAGATTCTGTGTCCGAATTGAATGCACACCACTTTGTAATGTAATGGAGACTTTCCACTGTGCAGGACTTTGCCTCATTGACCTCAACGAACTGCAGTCATAACAGTGAAATACAATGTACACATGACGTTACTTTTCCATACTATTATAAAAAGAAAAACTTGTACTTGTTTTCATGCTCTCTTTTTTGTTTTTCAAATGTCTCATTCAATTGCAACCAAAATAGAAAAATGCAATACACATGAGAGATTGCTTTAAAACAGCTACATGCACAAAATGTAAAAAAAATCTGCTACATTAATTTCACATTGTTTGAAGTACTGCACAGTGGAAAGCAATAGCTGTGCCTTTAGTACATTTCAAGGCGGGCTGTATTCAATACGGACACAAATTAGCATTTCTTGTTTTAAATGCAAATCTGCATGTATTGTATCATTTTCCCTTGCAACAGCCTTCATGCCCTTCATCTCCGCCATGGATGTATATTAAAAATTTGTTTAGGCCAAAACCGTATCTCAGAAGTATCGTATAACAATGTCTCGGTCACTAGTGTATTCATAACCATTTCATGCGGTAACATTCTGTGAGGTAGCTTTTAGAGGCCATAAACATTTGGACATCAGCAATAGTTAATTGGAAGTTTGCATGACAAAAATGCATATTTTAAATTCTCTCTCTGGTCTCTTTTACAGTAAGACAGATTCTGATGGACACACCCATTTACAGTCATATGCAAAAGTATGAACATGAATTACATATAACATGTTGATTTTCTAAATGAAAATAAGGTAACATGTCCTGTACAGGAAACACAATAAAATATGTACGCATATTTTAGAGTGCAATTTTTATTTATTTGCCTAGTGTAACATATTTGAAAAAAATTAAAACATGAACTTTAAAAGGTGACATAACTTTGGCACAGGGCATTTTTTATGTTTTATTTTTTCAATATGTTAGATTCAGCAAATAAACATTAATTGTGCATTAAAGTTTGCAGAATTGTTTTCTATGTGGAGGATGAGTACTTAATTTTACTCAGAAAGTCAATGAAACATTTGCAAACTTTCACATACCACTGTATTTCTTTTTTAATGTGATCTGGTTAAAGCCTCCTAGTCAATTTCTTCTATTAAATACTTTGGAATTGTTGAAAGTCTATGCATGGTTTGGTACTGTTAAGTCCCTTTTTGCTTTTTGGCCTTTTTAGGAACAGCCCTATTTTTTTGTTTACCTAAGCTAATCAAAATGCCCATAGTATACTGTACACTAACAAAATAAACTCACTTTTAATTGACGGTAATGTCATTAGGAGACGTAGATTTTTTAAAAGGCAGGTCTACTCTGAGTTTGAGGCCAGTGAAAGAAAACACCACCAGGGGGTGGCAAAAGATATTTATTTTTTACTTGCTTGCCCTCAGACTTTCACAGAACTATATTGTGGCTGGTAGACTCTACATTTCAAGGAGGCCTATTGTGAGTGCTGGCTTAGTGGTGCTACTTCTGTTAAGCTTGGCCAAGTGGTAGACTAGCTGATAGAGAAATATGATAATGCACAGACATGATTGCTGATGCAGGCTGTATGAAATGTGCAAGGTTTATTTAGTACAGATGTTTGCAGTTTGCTGGCTAAAAATGGCATCTCTAAAATGGCACTAGTGAAATCAGTGGCATGTTATAAGACTGAAAAAAAAACTTTCCCCATTAAGGTCTATTAAAAAAATAGTGATATATTCTGGATAGATTTGAGTTTTTAAAGAAATCGCTCTCTACTTTTTATTTATGTATATTAGAGAATTTTTAACCTGATTGTTTGAAATAACTTATTTCTTGGTCCAATATTTAACATGTGACAGTGGAAGATGCCACATTGCCTCACTACCTCCAGTCATTATTGCCAAGGTGTCAGTATCTAGTGTTTCTCTGATAAATAGAATAATCCATAGCACATTTTAACCATATTGATATTAAGGAAGCAATAGACTCACTTGTTATTGCTCATCTCTTTCTTTCTTTTTGTTGTCTAATATTGTTTTCTGTAATTCTCTTCTACAGTCCCCCAGCTCCTACAAGGTGGTAAACTGGACTTCCTTGTATTTGACTATCTGTCGGAAATCACCATGTCCCTACTCACAGCAGCCAAAACTAAGATGCCTGTAAGTGTTCTCAATTAAATGCTTTTGAGTTATATGATTTGATAAATGTCATTCTGTTTGTATATGTTATTTGTTGGTGGCCGTCACTGAAATATGTTATTATTGTCTGCTTAAAGCGGCATACACCTGTAGGTATTTCTAACAGTGGGTGTTCCTCTGCACTTTGTTTCCTCATGTTGGGAAATGGTGGCCACCAATGCTTTCTTGCTGGGTTTGGTGTTACCTCCGTAGCTAGCTTATGTTGGATATGAGAATGACCCATCAGACTTTCTGTGTTTTCATTCCATGACTCAGAAACACAGTGTGTCCTTGCTATTTATTATTCTTTTAAATTGCCAGGGGTGTTATTTTTTTATCTCATGGCTTAGCACCTGTTGAAGTGGGCATTAGCCAAACTGGTTTAAGGATGATGTATTTTCCCCAGTGTTCACTACCAACTTGGGGAACAAGGTTTCCTTTGAGGGTCACTGCTGTCTAGACTAGGTAATGCTGAGCCAGTACATCAGTAGAATTGCTAGCAAGTTCAGCTCTTTAAGAGGCCTGCCAAACTGAGCTTTGCCCTTCTGAACTTTTTATTCATAGCAGCTGCCTGTAGTTGTCTAGGAGAGTGGTCCTGCTTTCTCAAGTGAAAAACAATGTGTGGACATGGACCCTTCATAAACTATTCTGAGTTACTTCTACATGTGCTCAGGGTTCCAACATATTGAAAAAAAATTGACAGAATGACGCTTTGTGTTGCCTTGTCCTTTCTGCAGGTGCTGGTTAGAGCTTTAAGTAGGCCTGCAATTTTTATTCAAACCTGAATATAGCCTTGGAATATTCTGCCTGACCCGAGTCTGACCGACCCAGAATACTCTGATAAAACCTGACCGCTACTAATCAAAGATCAAATAAATTAGGGTACTTGTTAAGTTCATATGATCATTAATGAATCTAATTTTTAAAATTTTTAATTTTTTTTCTAATTATGAAAAGTAGCTTTAAAATCCACCTGAATTCATTTATTCATTAGTCAGTGCCTTTGACCAACAGAGTCATTTGAATAAACATTACGTAATGAATCTTGCTACCAACAACACAAATGACTTCAATTTGAGAGAAAAACTAAAGCAGAGGTAAATGCAGGCCAAATTCTTGTATAGAAACAATCATATAATTATGAACAGTCAGGTCCTGTCAGGTTCCAGCTGATATTTCAAGTTCTATCACTGCTTAATGATGGCACATCTGCATGCTTAAAGACATCAAAGACTTCCTGTTGGAAATTATAAATGGGTAAGCAGCTTCTCTTAAAGTAAAAATCTTCTACAAACACCTACCATGCATGCCCAGCAACTCTGATTTAGACTTGATGCTGTTGTTGCATTAATTTTTAGCTTCTTTAGAGTTCTGTCTGCTAGCCTATTGTGATTGTACTGGAAGTCAGGAATGGAGCAAAACTTTAGTCAGTCTGTTACTGGGTGATTTTCTAGAATAGGTGAGCTGAGGGGCACTCCGAAGCTGTCTTAAGGTTTTTGCTTGCTATAAGAGATCAGTCAGTGTTATAGCCCCTTTTCAAATGAAGGCTCTATCATTGAATTGCCTACTTGTTATCAGATTTTCTTATGGGCCTGTCAAAACCACTCAAGATCATTCAGTTTCAAAATGCTGGACCTCCAACTAGTGTTGTACAATGCATAGAAGGTTCAGTGCTTCTTTTTATACTACAACAATTGAATAATCTAACTTTGAATACTTTGCGTTCTTTGTGTAAATAGTGTAACACTATGAAACATTCATTAGACTAATTTGATGAGCATCATGATGCTACACTTGGTATCAAAGTCAAACTTCTAGTATCATGACTGCCTAGTACCAGCCCTGTTAAAGCGTAGAATAAGAAGATACAGCACAAAGTTATGTCAAGTATTTCAGTGCATTTACAGTACCCAAGGATCTTGACAGCAGTTTCTTAGCTTTTTCTAAATAATGTTGTGGTGTTTTAAGTGCCGCAATTGGCACATCCTCTTAAATTGATGTTTGTCATAGGATTTGATTTGTGGAAGCACTTAGGCTAGTCCTTGAAAAAATGTGACACAACCACAACAACATTTTAAATGTTAATTAACATGCATGTTGAAAGAACACATTTATTCAGTTGCTGTACATCTGTCTTTGTTCTTGATTTAATCTCTTCCAGAATATGGGCTATGCTCCTGACTTTGTTCTTGCTGCCATTTCTCCATTTATCAAGGACATAAGCCAAAAAGGTAAGACGGACAAGAGGAATGAGATTTGAAGTTGTTAAAAAGTTGAAAAAAAAATAGCATAGGTGAACATCAGTAAACATGTTCATAATTAGATACTGTGCATCTTCTCCTTAGCCTGAGATTTTGGGAAACTACCACATGTAGATGAATAATGTCAGAAAGAGACAACACAGTTCTGCATGACAGTTTCATATGTTCAAATTCTACATGACTCTATATATTCAGATGTGATATTGTGACCTGGAAATTAATATACTGACCATACTTGGCTTTGATTTCACATAAGGAAGAATGAGATTCTTTCATGATTAGCAGTTTAAGGGCAATTCAGTGATTTTTGAAAAAGTCTCTATAATTCAGTCATTAAAGTATGAACAAAATCATTTAGAGAGTTTTTAGTGTCTAATGTCACACTGTACGGAAGCTTACAAACTCAGCTTTCTTTACAGAGGTGGTGATAGGAACCAGGGGTCACAATGTCTGCAACACAAATGTAGCCATATTTGTGAAGGATTTTTTGTGAGGTGGCTTTTAGAGGTGTTAAACTCATTAGATAGTTTGGTTCCTATCACCACCACTGTGAAAAATTCTCTGTAAGTTCCTCTATAGCAGAGCATTTCAGACCACTCTGAATGACTTTGTTTACATTTTAAACACTTAATCATGCAGACATTGTAAATAAAATTGGTGTATTCTTTAATAGATGTCTTCTGACTTTGCTTCTCTAATTAAGAAAGTTTTCAGTCCATTATCACATGTTAGTATTGTTCAAGGCTGGAAGAAGTTAGAGCAAAGTAATGTTTTAATTTTATGTTTTAACTTTAAATTATATGTCAAGCTTTTTTTATTATATTTTCACTTTGAGCTCAAGCTAATGCACAAAAAGACATCTATAACAAAAGTGCCAATAATTCAAGTAGCACTGTAGTTGAAAAAGTTTACAGCGTCTCTGACAGCCTGTTCTTAAACTGTTACACTGTTGTTGTTTATTGGCCAGCTTTCTATATTCATAACCCAAATAGAGGAAAAAGTGCTAGGTTTTATCAAAAAAATTATGTAAATGTCAGAATCTATTTTTTTTTTCTAAACTGCTTATCCTTCTGAGTCGCGGGGGGGCTGGAGCCTAGCCCAGCAGTCATTGGGCGGAAGGCAGGAAAAGAATCTAAAATGATTTCTTCAAATTAAAAAAGAAGTTATTGTGACTGCAACCTCAAAAAATATTTGAAGTCTAAATAAGTGCTTGGAATTAACTACCCCACAGCTCTTCTTCTTCTACTTATTTACTTTACAGGTTTAGTTTGAGTGCATGGAACTGACAGTAAATGCTTTGGAACTTCAGCTTGTTTCAGTGCAACCCGTTACAGCAAAACAACCAACCTTAAGTGAGTTTTAGCCTAGAGCAGCTAGCTCTAGCACTGGAAGTTTTAGAAGTAGAGAAAGTGCCTCTGATCCCCATCTACGGCTGAGAAACAGGATCTAAAAATGTATTAAATAATGTGTACGTCATGTTTTATTTACTTTTACTGTTAAAACATTGGCTTATTATAGGGCCTTTAAAAGCTGTTAGGCTACAGTACAACAAATTGCCCACCGTCTCTGCCGTGGTTTCCCCGAGTGTCATTTACTGTCTAAGAAAAAATTGCGGTATTTTCCACTCAGCTTAAGTGTCCTAGAGTTAAAATATGAAAATTGTAAAAAAAAAAAAATATATATAAAACTGCATAGTTTTCCAGCGGCACCTATAGCTGAATTCCAGAGTGACTCTGCTATAACGACAGAAAATACCTTCTTTTTTATAGTGTGAATAGCACCTGGGCATGGCTTTGAAAATCACTTGCAGTCTGAAGTTCTCCAGCAGGGAGCACCCAAGTCACCATAAACCTACATCAGAAGGAGATCATGAACACATGTCACAGTAACAATGATTAAAATGACAGATGATGTTCATAAGAACAAAAAATAGAGTAAAAAAGTAGGTCAAATGTTTGACAATATAGAATCATATGCTAACAAAGAATATTGTGCTAATTATTTTTAGACATTGCCCAGGCCTAGTTGGAATGTATCAAGTTTGTGTCTTATGGATTTACTTTTTTAGGCTATCCAATTTTTTTTACCTAAATGGCAACTTTCACTTTACAAGCATCATTGCTCAATTCTGATTTTTTGCTCAGATTCAGCTGTTTTAACATGATGGTTCACATTTGTGTAGGTATGTGCCTCAAATTTGCCATTAATGGGAAGGAACCTGTGTCCTGAAACAACCCGCTTGTGCACATCCGAATCAATGTCAGGTAAATGAATGGTTCTAAATTGGGTACATATCCGATTCGTGGCCATGTGACTTTATTGAGAATGGTCAGATCAGAATTCCTGTGGGTTTTCAGTGTTAATGTGGCAGCTGCACTGAACATGAAGTAAGTCCTAGTAAATGCTTAAGAAGCAATGCATCTTTTCCTGCCTTCGTCTTGCTGTAATAATGAATAACTGAGAGCTGTTCAGAGCAAATTATCTTTGCAAGGAAGACTTGTTTTTGCTTCTTTGTAAGTTTGTTGTTTATGACGCACACGGTTCATTCATGTGACGTTATTGAGTTGGATGTGTGCATGTGGGTAATCTGGTCACATTAATGGTGTGCGAGACAAATGTGAGCCATCAAGGCAGAAAGAGTAAAAAAATTGGAATTGAGCAAGGAGGTTTGTAATGTGAATGTAGCTTTAGATTTTTATACAGTTATACAGTAAATATGTACAGGGCAGTGATAAGATTCTGTTGTGTTCTGTTGTGTTTCCTGCAGGTATTCGTGTGGTTAGCAATGCTGGTGGCGTGAATCCTCTCGCCTGTGCCTCTGCTATACAAGAAGTGGTGCAGAAAGCAGGTCTAGACCTGAAAGTTGCGGTGGTAACTGGTGATGACCTAATGCCACAGGTGAGAAGAGTGCAGGCATCTTCTAACCACATAAAAAAATATCTGCTTATGATTTTTGCTTGTAATTGTGCTGAATATTACCTGTCTGAATCTATACAAATGGGAACAAAACAAACTAATAATAGTAGTTGATGGAGTAGTTGACCTGCTTGTTGCACTTTAAGTAGGTATTCTGAAACTTTTCCTCTCTCTCATTGGACATATTGTCTTGCTGCGTGGCTTGCTGTTTCTGAGCTCTTACTCATATCCCATATGTCTGTTTATAATTTATACTTCTTGCAGTATTGGCAAATTGGACAGATCCTCAAGCAAGTCACCCCTAAATCGAATTACTTGTGCCTTTAGAAGATTTACATAGCTTGGCAGATCTCTAAATATCAGGATCAAGTCAGCCGTTTTCTTTAAATAATAAATAAAATAATAAACAATTTACAAACAGTTAACCTTAATTATCCTTAAGACCTTTTCACACCTGAAAATTGTGTTATTAATTATTTAGGGCTTTCAAATGTAACGTGTTTTTTTTTAACAAACCTAATTTCTGTTGCATTGAAGGTCTTTCCCTAGTTTGACCCTTCAAACCATATGTAGTAGTCCTGGCTGAACCCCAGCTGCTCGTGCCCTTTATGTTGCTATAATAGAATCTGTGATTGTACCCTTGTTTAGGTTCATGTGCACACCACATTCTCATGATGAAAATACTGTTATTGAGATGTTGAAAGTAATAAATACATTGTGATGAAGCTTGATTTGTCCACTCATATAGCTGTAACAAAATAGACTGCTTTTAAATTGAAACACTCTTTGTTTAGGGTAAAATTTGAGCAAATAAAATGATTAACTTCACGAAATAATGAAGTAATAATATTTATTAATTGTGATTTTTAATTCTGATTACAGATGCAGTCCACAAAACAGAACAAATTCAGCATGGAAGATGTGTAATATGTCAGAAATCAGAGAATCAGAATGACTTATAGTACAGACTAGTTAAGGCATGCTTTTAGTACATCCACAGAAATTATAGTACAAATATATTTCCTTGGAAAATTTCTAGTAATCTCAAGTAATGTGTATGAGTGGAATTGTATGCGAATTTAAGATACAGCACTTTGAACTGCATCAAAATAGAATCCCAGCAGCAACATGACATTAAAGTAAATTAAAAGAGCTTCTTACTGTCATATGCAAAACACCCCCGGACAAATTAAGTTTTGTGGATTTTCTAACAGAAAATAAGTTAACATCCATCAAGGAACTTAAATGTGGCATTTTTCTGCACATTTCAGTCCACAGTTTCTACAAACTCAATTCCAAAACTGTTGCGACAACATGTAAAATGCAAATGAAACATAAAGCAGTGATTTATGAATCTATTTTGACATGTCTTTGAACAAAAACAGTACAAAGACAAGATATACAATGTTTCATCTTATCAACTTCATTGTTTGTTTGTAAATATAAGTTCATTCTAAAATTGATGCCAGCAAAAAAGTCAGGACAGGGCACTTTTAGACTAGGAACACTGTGAAGTGTTTAAAAAACATTTTAAGTAGGGGGTACAATTATGCTTGGGTATAAAAGGAGCATCCAGGAAAAGCTTAGTCCTTTTTGAGTGAGGATGGTCAGGGCTCACCACTTTGGCAAAAATGCATTGGCAAAAAAATCCAGCAATTTAAAAATAATGTTTCCCAGCAAGTGATTGCAAGGATTTTAGGTATTTCACCCTTTACAGTGCGTATTATCATCAACAGATTCAGGGAATCCAAAGAAATCTCTGTGCGTAAAAGAAAAGGCCAAAAACTACAAATTAAGGCCATGACCTTAAGCTCTGCCAGACAGCATCCAGACAAAACATCAAATTTTGTGTTTTTAATCCATTTCCAATTTAATCCAGGTCAAGCAGAACTTACTGTTTTTATTAGCATTACACATATTGTCTAAACTTTTTTGGAATTGGGTTTGTATTTATTTGCTGAGTTTAAGATATGAAACATAAAATATAAAATGACTTTTGCACCGGCCACATTTTATATGTATAATCAGTTATTGTGCATTACTTTGTGCAAAAGTGTGTTCACTTAGAATTGTGTTTCAATTAGAAAACATATTCAACACAGTTCTTTCCATAAGCTACTGCTAACGTAAGAAAAAAAGAATCTTAATTGTTTCTCTCTCTTTAGAAAGACTCTCTGAGTATGCTGAGGATGGCTGATGTAGAAGAAAAGAAACCACTTCCCAAAACTGTACACAGTATGAATGCGTATCTGGGGTAAGAGGAAAGTGTCAATGTGATTGACATTGACTTGCAGTCAATAGCATTTTCCATTGTGGTTCCTATTGTTCCCTAATCAGATACACATAAAAATCACATCACTTCAATATCATGTTAATACAGACCAAAAACGTTGTTTTACTGTAGATTATCTATGAGAAATGGTTTTAAGCATTTAAACAGACATTCACAGTGCAGTTCTGCTTGTATATACACTCACTCTTCTCCATCCCCCAAAAGTTGTGCTACACTCATGTTTTAAGTAGCTGCTCTGGAATGCCCTTCCCCCACCATTTCTCTGCTTTGTTTTAAGTCCACATTCAAAGCTGTCCTTTAAACCAAGCCTTCCTTGAACACCTCCCTCTCAGTGCTCCAGATTTTTTCTTTCTCTGTTTCCTCTTCTCTTACTTATGATTCAGTGGTGTTATTGGGGTGTTTTTGTAAGGTGTCACATGACGATGTTGGTGTTCTTGTAACGGTTGTTTTTCCTTCTTCTTATTCTGCTTCTTCTTGGTCTACTTTTTGTCTTCTTAAAGGAAGCCTTAAAGGAAAGTATCAAATCCATTGCACATTGAAATCAATGGATTTTTCTATTGATTGATTGATTCTGTCTTTATTGTGTCTTGATTAGTTGGCTGACCAAACCATAAAGATACCCATTCTGGAAAATGCAAATACACTGTCTAGCATGAAGGAGTTCTTGAGTATTTCACAATGCAGTATGCAGTACTGTGCTAAAGTCAGAAACCGCCCTTTATTTATTTAAGCTCCAGTCAAAACAGCCAAGTACAAATGATTCATTTTCAAGAACTATTTCTAAAGAGATTAGATGTAAGATAATCCACTTGCACAAGTTATAAAATAAGTGGAGAAAACAGGAGCTTCCAACATGGGAATTTCATAATTAAATGATTAAAAAGTAAATTATTAAAATATTTTTATTTGTAGAGACTTTAGAGTAACTTTCTGTTAAACATATTTTTTCTGCTTTTTTTCTTGATGCTGAAAAATGGCTAACTGTACTGGCTGTGTTGACTAAAAATCATACACATTTAAAGTGGTCTCTGACTTTTGCACAGTACTGTAATCACTGACAAAAATGTCACAGTCTCCAGCCTGAATAGTAAATGTAATGTTGTGTGAGATTCTGGTGTTGTTCTCTGCTTCCTGCAGTGCTGTCCCTATAAAGCGATGCTTGGACCTTGGGGCTAATATTGTTGTGACCGGACGCTGTGTCGACAGTGCAGTAGTGCTTGGACCGCTGATGCATTCGGTACGTTTTGTCGTTATGACTGATTTCCAAAATCAGCTTGTGATCACGGGAAATTAAACATAATTGTATACACTATAGAATTTGAGCCAGAATTTACATGTGTATTCAGTTGTTTTTCTTCATGTTAAAATATTTCTTCTCACTGTACAAAATTAGACATGTCTTATTTTGTAAGCAGCAAGTGCAGGTCAACTTGGCATTAAAATTTAGTGCATTATCTTTGTTCAATAGTGTTGTATATTTTGACAGTTTGGTTGGGAGCAGAGTGACTTTGACCTCCTGGCTGCTGGAAGGTACTGTAACTGTAAAGTACAATGTAATATATTTGTTAAGTGGCATATGTGAAAGCCACTTAGCAAAAGATCAAGTAGAACTACACATCTAGGTACACGTTGTAAGGCTAAATGAGCAGTTTGTTGTTTCTTACATAAACTGCAGTAATGGTTTGGATGATTGTGTCTGTATTGAGCAGGCTAATAACGTTTCTAAGGCTACAAGAAAAGTAAACAGAGTCAGCTGTAGCCAAATTGCCAAATATGTCCTGTGGCACACAATAAATGGGAAACATAATGAATAAGATTACATGCAAGAAACTCATGCACAATAGTATCACAATATCAGTATTGGTATATGCAGTTGTATACAAAAGTCTAGACATCCCTAGTCAAATGACATGGTTTTGTTGATTTTCTGTGAAAATTTGCAAAAGAATGCCATATATAAGTTTGGTCCCTGTAGAGGATGTGTTAGAAAATCATGTCATTTCACCTAGGGTGATCCACCTTTTGCATATGATTATAATTTATTTTAAAAAAGTGCCACCAGAAAGATGCTTATATTCTGACCAATATTTAAAACTGAAACTGTATTTATTGCACTCCAGAAGAGCAGAATATTTAGGTGATGCTGTTCTACAGTCCCAAAATGTCTGTATTTTATTCTTATATTATACAAGTTATAAATGTGTATGTATCAGCATCGGCATAGGCATTCGTAGATATATACATGAAAAATAATGGCATGCGCCCACAATTCCCACATTGGTGTATCCCTACAAATAACATATGTATTGGCTAGACTTTATGAGCTAGCAATCTTGGAATGAAATTCAAAAGTTAAAACCTTAGTTAAACTATAAAGAGTTTCATTTATTTTGTTTTTAGCCTTCTTTTATATTTTTATCTATACAGTGCCCATCGTTGTAGGCCTTATAAGATCATACCTCCTATACTAAATAGATTCCATCCTTTTCAAATAGTTTAAATAGGATACAGACATTTTGACTTGCTTTCTGTGTAGCCTTTTGGATGCTTAGCAGCTTGCTGATTACAGACCTAGCTTTCAGAATAAGTCTTTCTGGTAAATCTTAAAGATTTAGTGAATAAGTAAATACTGTTCATTTATCACATTTAAAATACGTCAGCCGAATGCATTATTAACAAGTAACACACTTCTCCCTCACCTTTAGCCTCGCAGGACACCTGATAGAATGTGGTGCTCAAGTCACTGGTGGGATTTTTACAGATTGGCATAAAGTTCCAGACTGGTAATTGTGTTGACCCCCTTCTTGAGTGTTTTAGAAAAGTTGATACTGTTGCTTCATTTTTAAACTTTGTTCCCAAATGTTTTCTTTCCACTGTAGGGATAACATGGGCTTTCCAGTGGTTGAATGTTTGGCAGATGGCTCATTTACACTGTCCAAACCTCCCAAAACTGGCGGGCTGGTCTCATTTGGTACAGTGGCAGAGCAGCTAGTTTATGAAATTGCAGACCCACAGCGTTACCTCCTACCTGATGTCTCTTGTGACTTCTCACAGGTCACCATCACTGAAATACCAGGTGGGGCAAGTGACTAACATCCTACATGAAATGATACTACTAAACACAAAGATAATGGTAATTCTTTCATACCTTAATGATTTAAAAGCTTGTTGACTCAGTCAAGTAATTATTTCATTGAAGCCTCAATCAAAAATGGAGATCATACAATCAAGACACATATTTAGCTTGGTTTTGGTTTAAAAGGAATGCTAAGTGTTCTTTAGGAATGCTCAGGTAATCTTCTTTAACTGTGTGGTTTACATGCTGATATAAGGTGGAAGCTATGCTTGTATGTGCAGCCTGTTGTAGTACATAAGCTAAATTTATGTCTCAAATTTAAGGTGTGAATGGAGGAGCTGTCAGAGTACGTGGAGCAAAAGGATCACCTCCGTCAAGTGACTACAAGGTAACTCTTTGAAACAAAACATTTACTGAAACACAATGACATCAAGGTCCCATTTGAAAATTTAAACTGCAGCAGACTCTCCAGGCCCCTTCACTTCTGCTGTATAGGGCAGCCTAAATGTTGTTTGTACTTTACGCTGTCAGAAAAAGGTACTGTATAGGTAAATTTTTGTTCATCAAAAATACCAATGTATATGTACACTCAAAAGTACAACAGTGATCTTTAGGGTTCATTTGAGTACCTTAAATGAGTTTTAATGGTAAACTACGTTCACTTTGGTATTCAGTCAGGTATCGAAGGGGTAAGAGTGACGATCCTACTCAGTGACAACATGACCAGTTATACTGTTGTGGAAGGCAAGTGACAGTGCTGGGATATGATCTGGGGACGTAGTGATAGAGCCAAACTCTATAATTGTTGAAACAGTAAATATAACTGGTTATCTTAGCTCAGAGATGTCCAAAGTCTGGCCCCAGGGCCAAATGCGACTCGCAGATTGCTATAAATCAGCCCTCCAGCCTGTATGTTGCAATATTTCCTTTCACTTGACGGTGGCAGCAGTGCTGTATATGCACAGTTAGTTTACAATTAACCTACAAATGAATTTATTGAATGACATTTAGTCATGACTACACAAACAGTGCAGCTGACAGTGACAACCAGCAGTTTTAAGAGTAATGAAGCACTTACTTATTGAGAGCCATAACAAATGTGTGCCTTATTATTAATATTACAATACATTATGAAAGCTACTACAGACATTGCAATAAATATTCAGGGGACAAGGAGGCACCTAAAGCAGTTTTTTCACTCACAGAGTCAGATATGTGACTGTAGCATAATACTTGACACAGTTCTTATTTGATTTGACTTGGTCAATTCAGGAAGCACCTGTTGGACTGGATTGCAAAAGACCAGTTACAAACAATCGGCAGTTTAGGGTCATTCACATTCCAAGCCATTAGCAGTAAATGACACCCAGGCACCCTTATGGATTTTCATGTGACGTCACACATAGTGGCAGAAAAGGGCTCATGTAGATTAGCGATGTGCATTGTAAACAACACCATGTTACCTTGTGGTTATGTAGTGAATTTTATGGAAGGTTTTATGGAGGGGTTTTCTGATTGTTAAAACCACCATGGAATGTTTACCATTCTCTGTGAACATAAACTCAAGAGTTATTAGCGGCTCTAACTTGGCAATTCCTGACTGTGGCTTTGACTAGTCATTTCTCAATAAAAGACCATAATCCTCATCTCTGACAAACCCTTTTCACATGAATGTTTGGTGAGTGAGTCAGCAGTGGTCAGCAGTGAAACACGTCAATAATCTCATAAATGAAAGCCCACTTAATGATGCTTTTGTTGGATTTTTGTGGTTAAGCTTCCTACAGCAATCTGTAGCTCAGGATCAAAGGAATGTCTCTACATTAAACCATTATTTTTCCCAAGGTCTGTGCCACATACATGGATGGCTTCAGGACTACAGCAGTTTGTCCAGTGGGTGGTCCTAGAGCTGCAGAAAAAGCCAGAAGGACAGCAGAGAGCATTATCAAAAGGTTAATTGATTGCCTTCACATATTATTGAATTTGTCTTTGATATAGTATTTATTAAAAAAAAAAAAACAGAACTCTGAACTTGTCAAGCTGACATACAGAGCTTTTACAGTGAGAGGAATTAAGTATTCTGACATTTTTGTTTTGTTACTTAATATACTTCCATATATCCAACTTTAGACAAAATGTCATAATTTTTTACTTTAAATGTGAACAAAAGAGTAAATGTATTCATAAACATAAAAAAGATATGTGAAATCAACAGAGAAAAAGTATTCAGACACTCTTATGGATGCACAATGATATGGGAATCATCTCAGTACTGGCAGATATTTGCTTAAAAAATGTCAGCATCAAACAGATGTCTAGATTTGACTTTAAACTGATATTTGATGTATTTATTGTACTCTGAAAGAGCAGAATGTTTAGGCCCACTAGGCTACTGTGCTGAAATGACTGCATTCTTTTTTGTTTTTTTCATTTTACTGCATTTGTAACTCTCAACAAATAAGGATTGTATTTCTCTTTAAGGCTATTTCAGTTTGATGTAGTCTCAATTTCTACATTTTATAAATGTTTTTGCATCTCCATGGGCATATATACACATGAAAATATTGGGTATCGGCATCGCCCACAAAATTCCATATCACTGCATCCCTAGACACTATATTAAAAACATATACACCAATGAACCAAAACATTTCAACCTGCCTAATATGCTGTTGGTCCTCCACGTGCCACCAAACCAACTCCAACCTGCCAAGGTATCTGGCACCAAGACATTAGCAGCAGATTTGGAAGGTCCTGAAAGTTGCGAGGTGGGGCTACCCATGGATTGGACTTGTTCCAGGACATCCCACAGATGATTGATCAGATTGAGATCTGGGGAATTTTGGAGGCGAGGGCAACACCTTGATGTCTTGGTCATGTTCCTTAAACCATTCCTGAAAAATGCATGCAGTGTGGCAGGGAGCATTGTCCGGCTGAAAGAGGCCCCTGCCATTGTGGAATACCATTGCCATCATGGCATATACCTGGTCTGCAACAATGTTTAGATTTATGGCACATGTTAAATTAACGCCCACACGAATGCCCGGACCAAGAAGAACATTGCCCAGAGCTTTACAGTCCATCCTCCAGCTTGTCTTGTTCCCACACTGCATCCCAGTGCCATCACTTCCTCAGAATGGATAGCCTTGATAGCCCCTAAGCCTCAGGTGCCCTACACACCGTTGCCGGTTTATGGTTTGTTCCTTCTCGGACCACTGTCAATAGGTCACACCACCACTGACCAAGAGGAACCCACAAGCCTTGCCATTTCAGAGATACCCCGACCCAGCTGTTTGGCCATAGCGATTTGGCCCTTGTCAAAGTAGCTCAGGTCTGCAACTCTGCCCAACCATCTGTGAGTGGTAATATTGCTTTGCCTCATCAGTATGCAAAAGTTACAAAAAACAGTTTCTGATTATTAAGGCTGCAAGGAAAAGTGTTCTTTATGTAAATTGCCCCTGGTGTCATTATAAAAGCCATTGCCATTGGTTGGGAAAATTCACTCAGCAACTAGCAGTTGTGGTGAAGGAGATTTGTCTGGCATGATACTGTTAAACAACACTCATTGGCAGAAGCTATAAAGGTATAGCAAAGACTTTAAATATCTCTGTCAGTACAACTGGTTTCATAGTGTGCAAGTGGAAAATTCAAGGTATGCAATGCAAGACTTGATAACACAGCCTCAGACTAGTGATAAGGAAGGTAAGAAAGAAGCCAGTACACAGGGGACAGTAAGCAATAAACTGCACCCGTTCCTACACCCCTTGCAAAATTCCTCTGCTAAAAAAATAGAATAAAGCTGCGCATTAAAAAGTTTCACACAAGCGTTTAGACAAGTCCTTATTCTGTTTTGGAGCAGTGTACTCTGGTCTGACAAAACAAAAGTAAAACTCCTGGGCAATAATTCAGCTTGTCATATTTGGAGAAAGAAGGTTTCCGTATATGATCTAAAGAAGTATGAAGGTGGGAGCATCATGACATATGGTTGCTTCTCTGCAAATGGATTTGGTTGTCTACATTTTTCTGTCAATTTCATTTTTAAATGTATCTTTGTTTATGCTTATGAATACGTACTTTTTGTTTACATTTATAATTGTTTATACAATTCCTGAGCTGCATGAAATTAAACTTCAGAATTGTCTTATATTCTCTTTAGGACCAGGCGCATCTTCAGACAGCTGGGTCTGGAGGATTACAGTGGCGTCAACATCCAGGTTCTGGGTGCTGAGGATACATATGGACCACATGCAAGCAACAGTGTAAGCAATATATTAATATGTAATATGAAAGTAACATAAATTCAGTATCCAGATCAGAACACATTGAATTTCTTTATCTATAACCACTAACCCTAAGTCATGCAAAGGTCAGAACAGGGTTTTTTTGTATTTGTTTAAGAAAACCACTTTGGCCCACATAGATTTTACTTTTCACAGCCTGAGCCTGTCACATACAATGTTATAACTGTCTACAAGGTAAAGTTCATTGCCAAAATACAAACCTCCTTTCCAAAAAAGTAGGTGCAGTGTGACTTATATCAGAAGAATGCCAAAAAATCTGCTTTCAAACCTGGATCAGTTGGTCTTATGTACCCAATTGATTTTGAAGTGTTGCCCCATATTTTTGGATCATGGTGCAGACAATTTACCAAAAACACTTTTTTTACCATTTCCAATTTAATACAGGTCAACCAAAACCCTTTTATTAGCATTTTTCATACTGTCACAACTTTTTTGAAATTTGGATTTGTATTAATGAAAACTGATGTCACTCACTCTGTCAGTGTTGAACCAGGTGATTGATCTGAAGAATGTTACTCATAAATGTTATATTGATCCATTGTGTAGGGCCATCGGGAAGCAGTTCTTTGGATGGCTGTCCGTCACAAGCAGAAGAAAGCCCTGGAGTTTTTCTCCAGAGAAGTGGCTCCAGCAGGAACTGGAATGGGTAAGTGACATTATGGTGCAGTTGTACAGTTTAAACTGTACAGTTTCACAGCTTAAAACAAAACTGTTTAAAACTGCTGTGACTACTACTACTGTAAGTCTGAGGCATATCTATCATTTAGAAATGTAAAAATTAGAGATACATGCAGTATTGGCAGATAGTTAAGTAATAGATAGCAAAAAATGTAGCAGTACAGGACAGATGTTTACATTTGACAGATATTTTAAACCGAAATTTGATTTTGCATTAATTGTGTCCTGGACGAGCAGAATATATAGGTGACGTATGCTAACCCTTACATTACATTTATCTACCATGCTAAGCCAGGTTGATTAAGTTCCATTTTCTACATTGTATTAATGTATATGTCTGTATTAGCTTTTTTTTTTAGCTTTTTACACTGACAGATATGTGAAAAACATTGGATATTGGCATTGTCCTAGAATTCCCATGTCACTGCACCCATAAAAAACATCATGTAACATAAAATACAGCATATTTTACAGAAATGTACTGGTCAGTTCATAGATTTAATTTTTCTTATTCTTAAATCCACAGCTCCTGGACTTACAGGCATTGTGGGAGGCCGACCTAGAGTGTGAGTATTTTACATGAGGCATTTTCCTTTGGGAGTAAACATACAAGTGAAGGCCATTTTAGTGATAGTATTGCTTTTAATGTTTTGAAGTATTGTTTTGTGTTTCTCTGTGTCCAGATCTCCAGTACTGAAGCCTTTTTTCTTCCTATATCCTAAAACAGAACTTAAGGTACAGCACTTATTCATATGTGTCACATTAATTGAATAATTAAAAAATACTGAAGTTACTAAAGTGCTAAAACTACATACACATTATTGTTCAAGTAAATTTGGTGCTTATTAGAATAAATGTGTTGAGCATTACAACAGCTATGCCCCAACCAGATTATGGACTTTGCAGCAGAGTTTTGTTTCAGCCTTGATATGCTACACATGTAGCTAATCAACATTACCAGCACTCTCTGAGTATTACAGTTGGAGCTAGCGGGGCAACAGATCTTCACAGAAGCAGTAATAAATGATTGGATGGATTATTTACAAACCTAAATTCTAAAAAGGTTGTAACAGTATGTGAAATGATAATAAAAACAGAAAGCAGTGATTAGTGGTTTGACCCTGTATTAAATTACAATATTAACATTACAAAAGCACAGTATTTCAAATTTGATGCCTGCAACAAGTTCCAAAGAAGTTGCAAACATGGTTACCACTATGTTACATCATCTTGCCTTTTAACAGCACTTAATAACCATTTGAGGACTGAAGACAACAACTGATCCAGTTTTTAAAAGTGGAATTTTGGCCATTCTTCCATTTTATATCAATCTTTAGCTGTGCATTTGTTGTTGTATTTTGTGCTTAACAATGCACCACTCATTTTCAACGGTAGGCAGGTCTAGACCGCAGGCAGAATGTGGCTTTGTGTTGTCATGCTGAAATAAGCATGGACGTCCTTGAAAAAGACATCATCAAGAAGGCAGTATATGTTCCTTCAAAACATGCAGTTATCTTTATGTTAATGGTGTAAATAAAATAAAAAATTAAATAAAAATAAAAAATTTGAACAGTTGACTTGTCATACCACAATATATGTCTGCACTGTGCGTCTGTCTATTTCAGATGAGCTCAAGCCCAGAGAAGTTTGTGGTGTTTTTGGACGTTGTTGACTTATGTTGGCTTCCGCAGTGCAAAGTACAGTCTTAACTTGCGTTTGTGGGCGCAGCAACGAATTGATTATTGAAAATGGATTGTCAAAGTATTCACAAGCACATGTGGTGATATCCATCACAGAAGCATGCCAGGTTTTAATGTAGGTTCATCTGAGGGATCGAAGGTTTGTTGGCATTCAGTTGTGGTTGTCAGCCTTGTCCTTTTTTCACAGAGATCTCACTGATTTCCCTGAATCTTTTGATGATAATATGCACCATTGACGATGAAATACTTAATCCTTGCAATTGATTGTTGAGAAACATTGTTCTTAAACTGATTATTCCTTGACGCATTTTTTGGCAAAGTGGTGAGCTGCGACCCATCTTTTGTCATGAAAGACTGGGCTATACCCCACTTTAATTTCACATACTTTCCTAACTTTTTTGAAACTTTGTAATTGTCTCCAGAAACATACAGTATGTATGAATACCTGATTTTAGGTCAACATCTATCTCAATGGAGAATTGGTGGAGACGTTCAGAGAGGCTGACTCTTCTTTAGCTGAATGGCGCGCCCCCTCCCGCCTTCCCGAAGAAAATGTTTACAAGCCCACAGGTTTGTTTAGTAGTCACTTACTTTTAGAGTTGGTTTAAAATTTTTAGTTAATGAAAATCATGTGTTTATTTTTTTATTATCTAAAGAATATTAACTTTAAAACTGATTAGGTTAGGTTCTGATTAGCTAGGGTTCATCTTTCCTAAAAGTCTTCATTTATGACATCTTTTTGTGATTATACAGGGGTGTTCTTCCCCCCACCACATTAGAAACGTGGATGCCAGGCCCATTTATGCTGTATGCTCTGCTTCTCATTCACAATGGCTTTTCGAAAATAGCAGCATCTTTGCAGTACAGGTGTCTTTTGCAGTAAATATTCTAGTTCATTCCCAGTTTATGTGGAATATTCATGTCTACAGTAATGCTAAAGTCACTGTACTCATTTTTTCACATTTTCAAATTTCTAAAATTTTCAAAGCAAGACATATTAGCCTATAACATAGCTCTTTTATCATCAGCACTGAGTCACTGATCTTGAATAAGGGTGGAATGTTTTAAGCAGGCAGACTAAACAAAAAGTAGGCTTAAATCAGGCCTTCCATCACACATAGTATTAGGAGTCTGACCCAAGGGATCAGCTACATAAAGAGGGTTATATAAGAACGCTGGTCCTGTTGTTTCGTATTGCTTGTTCTACAGTGCTTGTGTTCCCAGGGGGCTTTGTGAGTAGGCCACTGAAAAGCGCAAAACTCTTTTCAGTGTTTTGGCAGGACCAGCCTTGGCTTAACAAGCAGCAAGACCTTCCAAGTAATCAGGACCATCCTTTCATTAGAGGTTAGCATTACAACACGTGCAAGTATGCAACACACTTTTCTTGCACACACGCATTCTTAAATCACCTTTGTCATGGGAAAAGAGACATTGACCATATTACAATATATCATTGTATTTACTTATTCATTTTCTTGCAGAAACTAACTCTCCTAGGCATATCTCATAGCATTGAGAGAAAAGAAAGCAGTTCTAAACACTAGTTTCATTCTATTGTTTCTTTTTTTTGTAGAATTGCTAGTTTGGTTGTCAAGACAGCAATGAAATTCATTCACCCCCTATTCCAGACACTTTTACACAAGCTTGTGGAGCCCTGGGGGAAGTATTGTAGCATGACATTTCCTTTCCAAGTTTATATTGAATTATTGTGTTTTTTTTTTAAGCCTTTTTTAAAGTTTTTTTGCCTGGTCCAAAGTCTCCTGGTTGAATACAATTACATTTCTCCACATTATTGTACTTTAAATTAAGACACGTCTTAAAAATTTGAGCTATTGAGATTAACTTGATGAAGGAACGATAGAATGATTACAACATCACCCCAGACAGGACAGCTTCTCAATAGTAAGAGTAGTGAACAGGTACTGTCAAGCTTGAAGGGAATAATGTTTATAAAAATGCTATCTGGTTGAAAATTTTCATGCTAACTAATAGCAACTCCCCAACTCTTCAGTTCAGTAGTGCTGCTTATTTTAACAAGCACATTAAAAATGTGATGTAGCACTTACTATTGAATGTTTAGGAACATTTCATCAGTTATGGATGTTTGACCAGTCACAATCAATGCTAATTGCAACAGCAATGCTCATAAACTGTCAGTGCATACCAAATTTAATACTTTTAAGATTTTGATCCTTTTGTCTGTGATCACTGAGACTACTCGTTTTCAGTTTTTTCAGTATTTGCAGTTTTAAATGTTTCACTTTGCTCCGAAACATGAACAGAGAAATGACTGGGTGCACAACCTCAGGGTACCCCCTAGGGGGCCACAAGCCTCCACATGAACATTGTCCTTACTGAAAGTTTAATTCAAGTGATTATTTCCATATATAAGCACATTGGATGATTTGGTCAGCAAGTGTGGGTCTTGTTGAAAACAATAATAAGTTATTAAATGATAAATAATACATCATTTACTTTAATTCTCAATTTGCATTAATTTATTAAGTTATTGGCCTCAAGAATCCTCATAAGGCATTGTGGATACTAACTCTGTTAAAACTTAATTCTTTGTGTTCCATTATTTTATTATTATTATTATTATTATTATTATTATTATGGAACCAACAGCTCTGTTCATCATCATGGATGCATTTAATATATCTTAATTTTTATACAGCTTTTTACCAATTATTTTAAATCAATTAAGTTGTAGAGTGTTAGCATCATATTAGAATATTTTAATCATGTATCTGGAAATAAATTGGTTTTATATTATTGAAAACAGTGATTCCATACTTTTCAATAGTAGTGTATGCCAAATCTTTCCGGATTCCATATTATTCTGCATACTGAATAATAATCAATAATTCAAGCAGTGTTCCCATTTGCTTCTAATGTATGTCATTAATACATGTTAACATGTTAATGCATTTACTGCATGCACCTAATTTAAATTTCATTTTTTAAGTTTTTTTTATTTTGTTTTTCAGACCTGCCCACTGGCCCGCACAGTTGCAGACTTGAGGATTTGGCTTATACACGAAGTGGAGACAAAGGAGACTCTGCAAATATTGGTGAGTCGTGCCTTTTTGGCTGTATATTACGAACTTTATTACTCATAAACTCCTCTGTAACTTTCTGCAGTCATAAACTTATCAGCCTTATTTATGGGAGATTTATGGGAGCCCTGTCCATTCAGGGGTTGTATAAGTGGGCTGAGTTCTGTGTTTGGACATGCTTTGTTTACATGTCTCTTGTTGAAAAAGTCTTATATGAAACCCAAACATGCAAGTTCCTGTATGCCTAAACATATACAGTAAGTGATACTATATGAAAATGTATACATTAGGGCTGGAAAATATGACAGTATATATCATTATCATGATAAATTATGTCACAATACAATATGCTTTTCTGAACATATGCATATCATCAGTATTTGTAGAACGCTGACCCATGTACATATCACGTTCTTACATATGTGCTTAAATGTTGTTTAGGTTTGTGGTACTGCTTAAAAATTACTCTCAGGTACAACTGTTTTTCAGAAAAAAGAGTATTAAAAGTTTACGTTTTTAGTAATCTAAAGTTATGCCAACAATATGGCAGCATATTCCAATTTGAAATTGCTAATTAAATTGTTTTTACAACTGTATTTCGTGTGTGAGTGTACATCATTTAAGACATAACTCAATTTCAAACATTCAAATGCAAAACATGTACCTGCATTTGCATTTCTGTGTATAATAACTGGAAAGTTAAATAAGAAAAGCAAAATCCTTTTGACATTTTATTATCTGATCTATTGAAAACGGAATAACAATGGCCCATTTGCAACTGCATTTTTCATCATTGCTGCGTTCCAGCTCTGCCAAAATGTGTTTGCAACCCTCTTTGCAGCTGCATTCTCACTGTCTACAAGGCACTCTTGTCAGTCAAACGCTGTGAATGGGACGTTAGGAGGGACTTGCGTGGGTGTGTTTTAAAAAAAAGTCTGAAAGTTACGAAAAAAGTCTAAACTTTGGTGGTACTGGCAAATAGCTAGACACCTTTTTTACAATATGGAGATAGCAACAGCAAGCTTAGCTGACATTTAAATACTTGCCAACCAGGCCAAGTGATCACTGTTGAAAGTGATTGAGATCTTGTTGTCTTGTGCGATTCTTGACCAACTAGAAGAGCTTGTGGCTGGCACAAGCTCCAATGTTGGTGACATTGTGACTGGCTTTGGGCAGAGGCTCGCAGGACTGTTGGAGGAAACCTGCATTAACAATGCCCTTCACTTTTTAGTGCTTTCTCTGCTTTAACACACCCATTACAAATATTCAGAGGTTGGTTTGGCACAAACTGGGCCCAGTTTTTTTTGTCTTATTGTTAAGATTACTATAACGCTTGCTCCATCACTTCCTCTTAAAACATGTCACACTCACTTCCTCTTAAAACATGTCACACCCACAGCGTTAGATTGACAAGAGTGTGTCATTGACAGTGAAAATGCAATTGCTAATAATGATGCAAATACATTTTCATTTTGGCAGAGCTGGACTGTGACAATAAGGAAATGCAGTTGCAAATGGTTGATTGTTATTTTAGTATTATAGTTTTAAAAGGACTTTGCTTTTCTGTATTACATTTTACAGCCAAATTACCAGAAATGCTAATGCAAATACACATTTGCACAAAGATTCACCCTCACATGGGAAATGCAATTGTAAATAGACTATTTAATTAGCATTTTCCATTTTGCATTTGAATTTGAAGAAAGTCTGAATATGCTTCCATACAAAAGATGTATGCTTTCGCTTGTGCGAAATATTGTATATAAATATTGTATTTAATATTGCAATTCATTTCAGGGGTCATTGCAAGACATCCACTTTATTTTCCCTACCTGAAGAGATTTTTGACTGCTGATGTCGTGGAGAAATACTTTCAGCATCTGATTAAAAAGGATGAAACGGGGTTGCCCTCTGTGACACGGTAAGCGTTGTGGAAAGCTGCATTTAGCTTACTGACAGCCATTGTATATGGATACAAGAGCACCACTGCTGTGCTTATGTGAATATTTGAGCTTTCCTTAGACATGTGTACAATTTCTTTATCAGATTAAGAAGCAGAAAATTTTTTAAATGACCATATTAGAAATCTTTTTTTTTTTAAATAATGGTGTGTATATATACAATATTTACTACAGTTGAAATGCATTGTTTGATATTGTGTGTCTATACATGTACACACATGTACACATACACCAATGAGCCAAAACATAATGACCCAATATGCAGTTGGTCCTCCGTGTGCCACCAAAGGCCCACCAAGACAAGACCTCTGAAGGTGCCCTGTGGTATCTGGCACCTTAGCAGCAGATCCTGTAAGTTGCAAAGTGGAGCTGTCACAGATTGGACTTGTTTCTCCAGTACATCCCGCAGACGCTCAACTGGATTGAGATTTGGAGAATTTGGAGTCCAGGGCAACACCATGCACTCTTTGTCATGTTTCTCAAACCATTCCCAAACAAGATCTGCAGTGTGTCAGGGCATATTCTTATCTAGCTGAAAGAGGCCATTGCCATCAGGGAATACCACTGGCATGAAAGAGTGTACCTGGTCTGCAACAGTGTCTAGGTAGGTGGCATGTGTCAAACTGACGTCCACATGAATGCCTGGACCGAGGGTTTCACAGCAGAACACTGACCAGAGCTTCACAATCCCTCAACAAGCTTGTCGTCTTTTCACAGTGCATCCTCGTGCTGTCACTTCTTCAGGTAAACCGTGCACATGTACTCAGCCAGTCCATGTGATGTAAACAACAATGGGATGCATTGGACCAGGTGACCTTTTTCCATTGCTCCAAGGTCCAGTTTACGATGCTCGCATGCCCATTTTAGGAGCTTTTGACAGTCGACAGGGGTCAACATGGGCACGTTGACTGCTCAGTGGCTACGCAGCCCCATGCACAGGGCATGATGCACTGTGCATTGTGACACATTATTGACCGGAAGCACACCACAAACACCTTGTCATTTTGGAGATGCTTTGACCTAGTCATTTGACCATAACAGTTTGGCCCTTGTCAGAGTCGCTCAGGTCTTCACGCCTGCCCATTTCTTCTGCATTCAACACATAGACTACGAGAACAGACTGTCTGAAATATACCAGAACTTGACATGTTACAAGGTAACAGTCATTCACTTCATCTGTGAGTGGTCAAAATGTTTTGGCACATGGGTGTGTGTGTATATATATATATATATATATATATATATATATATACACCAATCAGGCATAACATTATGACCACCTTATCAGCTCCACTTACTATATAGGTGCACTTTGTAGTTCTACAGTTACAGACTGTAGTCCATCTGTTTCTCTGCATACTTTGTTAGCCCCCTTTTACCCTGCTCTTCAGTGGTCAGGACCCCCATGGACCCTCACAGAGCAGGTACTATTTGGGTGGTGGATCATTCTCAGCACTGCAGTAACACTGACGTGGTGGTGATGTGTTAGTGTGTGTTGCGCTGGTCTGAGTGGATCAGACACAGCAGTGCTGCTGGAGTTTTTAAACACCTCAGTGTCGTTGCTGGACTGAGAATAGTCCAGCAATCAAGGACTAGAGGATGACTAACACAAACTGTGCAGCAGCAGATGAGCTATCGTCTCTGACTTTACATCTACAAGGTGGACTGACAAGGTAGGAGTGTCTAATAGAGTGGACAGTGAGTGGACAGTGTTTAAAAACTCCAGCAGCACTGCTGTGTCTGATCCACTCGTACCAGCACAACACACACTAACACACCACCACCACGTCAGTGTTACTGCAGTGCTGAGAATGATCCACCACCCAAATAGTACCTGCTCTGTGAGGGTCCATGGGGGTCCTAACCACTGAAGAACAGGGTAAAAGGGGGCTAACAAAGTATGCAGAGAAACAGATGGACTACAGTCTGTAATTGTAGAACTACAAAGTGCACCTATGAGTGTAGAAACAAGTAACAGTGTGTGTGTATATATATATATATATATATATATATATGTGTGTGTGTGTGTATTTTTATATATGTATATATACACATATATACATATATACACACATACAATGTTGCCTAATTGCCTAAATACAATACAATATACAATGTTAATAACAATAGTGAAAACTGCAAAAAAAGCAGTCTTTTTGTGCATGAATGTACATCTGAAAGAATGTCTGTGTCTGCATGTTTTATGGGCAGTGAAGGTGGTGCTGGAACTGTGATTAAATGCTTTGTAAGGGCTGCCTCATGCTGGGTTTTTACACATCTGCTCTCCACAAACTGCGTGTGTGTGCATGCACGCACCTTTGTGTGCATGTTTGCATTTCTCCATGCAAGTGAGTGGACAAGCAAGAGAGAGACTGGTGACTGTAATACTGTAAAGTACCTTTCTGAAGTATGTGTGATTTGCTCATAGGTATGAGCTGCCTGGTATTTGTGGTTTGAACTTCGTGCTACACAACTCTCTTGGAGGGGGAGGGGTGGCTTCTCTAAGGAGTGACCCTCAGGTACTGCACACACAAACACAGCCATTAGCAGACATACTCACAGGTCTGTTAAAGAACAGCTAAAAAAAGAACACATTTATTCCAACTGTGGAAAAAGACAAACACTATAAAACCAACAATTTCAGGCATGTAAGAAATGGGTTTTTGGTACAGTTGATAGAATGGGTAATTTAATCAATCAATTTGATATATAGACACATTTTAGCATATATTTTGGGTAATGTAACTGTCCTTGCAACATTTTAATGCAAAAACATGCAAAATAAATATAAAAACACAAACATTCAAACAGCTTTTAAAGGGCCCATTTTTATGACACAGAAAGCAGATAGCTGGCCAGACTCTAGTCTCGCTGGGCCAGACATGATCTCGTAATGAGAATACACATCTGGGGACAGCTTGTTAAACATTTGGTGAAATCTAATGCTAACAAGCATATGCCCCTCTAAACCCCACCTCGAAATTCCTCCAGTCCTCTAGTCTTTTCAAGTCCTGAGTACAATTGATAACACGAGCAAAACAAGCTAGCTAGCGAGACGCTGTCATTAGCTAACATAACTTTTTTTTTCCTTGCATGTTCATGGGATACTGACAGGCTTTTGTTGTCTGTTGTTTGGACAGTGTCCCTTAGCTTGAACTCTGGCTTCATGATGTTTGGTCCTTGTCAAAGTCTATGTCCCACACCTCACATTTAGCCAAAAATTTCTCATAGTTTCTGGATTTTTTGTTGCGAGATTATGTATGGCCTGTCAAGACTAGCCACACTCTAATTTAAAATGAATAATTACTTCAGATTTGGTTCTATAGTTATTTCTTGCTTCATCATGAAAATGAAGTTGTTTTGGAGCACTGTGTATCTAAAATGATACAGGGACACATTTCATGTAACTCTAAAATGAAAACAGCATACACATGGAGGACTGTGGGTAATTAACGTGACTTCAGAGTGCACTGCTTATTTCTTTTGAAACAATGTTATATTTCTCTTCCTGTCAGGGAAAAGCTTATGGACAGATGTTGCTGGACTACAGATTGACTGGCCTGCCTGATCTCACGTCATTGGTAGACTGAGGAAAGAGGGTGCTGTGAGGAAATGTAATAAATACAATAAACATTCAGACAAAAAGGACAGGCATTCTGTGAGTGACTCACTCTTCGTGCAAGGCATTGTCTGACTGTTTAGTGAACTTGAGTCGATAAGCTAATCAGTATCTTGAGCTAATGTGCATGTATTAAGAGTATACAGTGAACATGATAAATACTGACTCAAGCACTAATTGTGGCTATATGTAATTAATATAATTCAAGAGATTTACAGCATGTAGTTTAGACAAGCAATCAGCAGTCTAGATTTTGGAACAAGCATGCTTATCTGCACTTATTGGCTACTTTTGTATTGAAATTTTGTATTAAATGGCATTTTTTGCATTGCATTTATTGATACTTGGTAGTATTGGAGCATTCCAGTCAGTACCATAAAAGTATTTTGAGACCCAGCCTTATGCCCCATTAATTGTAGAAGTTAAAACAATTATAATAATTCAACATGCTTTAAGTTTGTGCCTTGATGAGCTATTATACAGGTATTTTCCTTTTTAAAGAAAATTGTGAACTAATTAAAATGTACATTGAAAAATAAAATGTTTTATTATTATAATTACTGTGAATATATGGATATTGATATACTGAGGTTATAAGAACTTGTGTCAAAATCATTTTCAGCTCCAGTTCTAGAGACCTGCTATTTCACACACAGTTTGATCTTTTTCAAACACCTGATTCTCTCTTTATGAATCAGGTTAAATCAGGTATGTTAAAGCAAGAAATGGTTAAGGGCATGGTTCACCAGGACTGGAGCTGAACACCCCTGCACTGTGTTTATTTTCAGACATATTCACCCACTACTGAGTTGTAAGGAAATGACTTGTACTTACAGCTAGTGAAATTGGACCACTGTGATGGTCATGGCTAAAGGTTGTTTTAAATCAGAAGCTTAAACCGCCAATATGATGAAGCAAATGCTGTATTTAGGATGGTTTGTTTGATTGGCTGTTTCATGTTTTGAGAGGTGTTGTCACCGCTTTGGCAGTGGTTGTTAACAGGCTTTTGAGAATAGTAGAAAGCCTATTGACAGAATTGCTTTTGCAGCTCTGCTGAGTTCTCTTAAGTTGTCCACATGCTCCAGAGGTGACACTGGAGCCATAAACCTTTGAAGACTGGAGTCGCTACCTACTCTTGTTACTTACGGCTCCTGTTGACACAGGAAGTGAAGGAGCAGGAGGGTGGGGGTGTGTCTGTGTGTGTGTGTGTGGCTGTGTGCGCTGAAGTCAACCTAATTGTTGTATTGGTTTCATGAAAGAAATGTGAATAACTCATTTATCAATTGCCCACAGACAGACTCAGCATTTTGTCATTATGTGGAGAGCGCCTTGGCCTCATTTCAATGCATCGCGAGTAAGCACACCACATACACACTGATGCAGAGTGGATTCACCCTTCAAAATTCACACATTTATCACACAGCCTTGTTCAGCTGACCCATGCAAACACTGGGATCCTGACAGACGAAAAGCAGCGAAGACAAATATCTTGTCATTTATCACCCACTGTCTTTTTAGAACCCTGCATGGTGCTCAACCCCAAGGGTCCAGAGTAATCCCCACTAAATATTCAGCATTTACTCCTCAATGGGAGCCCTTTGTTGCTACCAAGACGAACTGATTTCTCATCTTGTCAATCTTCACTCTTCCACCAGTCCAAAGAGGCACGGGGGTGGGGAGAGTGCCCATGCACACGCGTGCGTGAGAAAAGCATTGGAGAGAAGTCTGCGTTTTTCTTAACATTTCTAATTTACAACTTAGAAGAAATATTCTTATTTTACACTTTATTTTATTTAGATTTTGGCAGAATATAAACAAAAGGAGAACTTAACAACTGACAACAAGCTTAACAACAAGCTTCAGGCTTCTACTGCAATAGGCAGTTACTTACTTACTTAAATGCCCTCCGTATGTTTATGTTGCAAGATTACATTTTTAGTTGCAGTTTAGTTCTGACCACATTTTTCTATGTTCTTTCATACTTGTTCTTTAGAAGCCGTCTTTCCACTGGAAGGGATGGAGGATAATTAGAACCATATGGAGAACTAACTCTCTTACAATGGAAGCAAAGTACGGCAAACTAGCTCAGGCGGACCAGAGATGAGTAGAATATCCTCAAGTAAATGCCTTGTTACTGCAGTTAAAATGCTGCCTTAAATTCGTAAACTATCAGGTAAAAAAAATACTCCAGTGGACCTTACATCCTGGATCTCAATGTGAATGACTAAAACAGAACTGAATACAAAGTAGATTCCTTTATTCACACAGTCGCAAAAGAAATAATTTCAAAAATCACATTCATAAAATTTTACTTAGTCTGACACAGATTTACTTTGTTTTTTGTACACATCACTAGAGGACACCCAGAGTTTCAGGTGAAACTTAAAGATGTCTAAGTGCTCTTATTCCAGCCCATTTACTGAAGCCAACCTGTAGGCAAGTTTAATGCTGAATTTATGATACAATTCTCATTCTTTGTTTCCAAGCTGACTTGTCTACAGACACTTTTACAATATAGTATGGAGGCAGTAATGTAAGTCAGATTTCCACGTTTAGTAAATCAACCTGACTTTTAAATGATGTTTAAATACTGTTATGATGTAGAATTTGCTTTTGACTTCGGATATGACTTTGAATTAATTAACAAATTATGACTTTGGTGTATATTGTAGGTTGACTGAGTGTATTGTGTAGGAACCAAACTTTAACGTAATGTTTAGCTACTTTTTTGAGGTAGGGTTTGGTATGAAGGCTTCATTGTAGTTTGGTTACTGTATGGTAAATCAGCCAGACTTCCCCTGATGTTTAGCTACTTTTCTGATTTTGCTTCTTAGCTGACTTTAAACTGAAATTATGGGTTTGGATTAGAGGCAGTATTGTAGTTTTGAGGTAACATATGTTAAACCTGACTTGCACATGATGTTTAGCTACTTATCTGATGTAGGCTGTTTCTTTGGTGACATCTTCAGAGAAGAGACTTAAAATTCTTCCTCACAAAATCTGTTTGGGCTTTCTGTCTGACATCTTCAGACACATGACTTTAAACTAAAATACTTCTTCAAAATACTTTGGTTTCTGTGTCAACCAGACTTCCACATGGTGTGTTGAGCTACTTTTTTGAGGTACACTGTTTCTGAGCTGATTTGTCTTAAAACATAAGATTTTTGACTTTAAATGTTATTTGCTTTGGAGGCAGTATTGTAGTTTTGAGGAAATGTATTATATGTTAACCAGACTTCCACATGATGTTTGGCTTCTTATCTGGTGTAGGCTGTTTCTCTGCTGACTTGTCTTCAAAGACAAGACTTGAAACTAAAATACTGCTTCTAAATCTTCAGTCTTTGGAGGCAGTATTGTATTTTGGAGGTAGTGTATGGTATGTCAGCCAGACTTCCACATGGTGTCTGAGCTGATGTCTTCAAACATGAGACTTATGACTTTAAATGTACTTCGGTTTGGAGGCAGTATTGTAGTTTGTACAGAGTATCCTAAATCAGCCAGATTTCCGTTGTTGTTGGCCTACTTTTCTGTTGTAGTCTTAAAACAGACTTTTAGCTGGGCTTTGGTGGCTGCATTGTAATTTGGAGAAGGTATTGTAAATTAGCCAGCTCATTATTTTGTTAGACTTTATTTTGTGTTTAGACTTTAACTTAAATTGCCTCAAATTGAGTCACAAAGTTTGGACAGTGTTGTAAGTCATCCAGACTTCCACAGCAACTTTTCTGAGGGTACTTTCATGAGGTAGATCACATCTCTGTTTTTTCCCCACTTAGCAAGACTTTCCAAAACATCATCAGTGGTCATGGCTGGCTGTCTTGTCTCTTTTTTCATCGTGTGTGAGTATGTGTGTGTTCTGACGTCACGCGGCGAGCAGAAGTGCAGGCACTGGCTGGCTAACGCGAAAACTCGCCGACCCTCCGTCCCCCTTCGGCACGATGCTGGACTCGCTGGCGCTGTTGCTGGAGAAAGCCTTCCTCCTCGCCCATTTCGACATTTTCAGCGTGCTGCTCTCCAGCGAGGAGAAGGACAGGAAGGTGGAGAATGCGGCGGAGGTGGAGAGGGAAAGGCGCCTTCAGCAGCAGCGGCTCCGGCGCGGCGACCTCCTGGAGGTGCCTCGCACCCTCTTCATCCACTTCGGCATCTATCTGGGCGACGGCAAGGTGGCCCACCTGATTCCCGACATCCTGCCGGCGCTGACGAGCGATGAGCACCGCATCGGGAGGGTGGTGAGCAACAACCGGCTGCTGCTCGGCGTGCTCTACAAGTGCGCAACCATCCGCGTGGACACGCTGGAGGACTTCGCGTACGGCTCGCCGGTGCTCCTCAACACCATGGACGACGCACTCAGGACGCGACCGCTGGCCAACGAGGAGGTGGCGCTCCGGGCCGAGAAGCTCATAGGCAGGATCCCGTACAGTCTGCTGTGGAACAACTGCGAGCACTTCGTCACCTACTGCCGCTACGGCACCGGGGTCAGCCTGCAGACCGACAAGGTAGTTCAGTCTGCTTTTTGTCCACAGTGTAAATTTAAATGAATCATGCAGACTTACTGCCTCGAAACAGTTAAGTGACTTAACAGGTTTGAGCTGAAATAACTATGTTTTAGTTATAGGTACTTATTATTCTGAATGATCCACACTTTTTCAGCATGTAAGATTAAGTTAGACAGCCCAGCCATTCAAGAGTTTCAGTTGAGCTGGCGGTACTCCACATTTTCTAGTTGTTTACTCTGGATTTCGCAAAGCTTAGTTAGGTTATCCTCTCACTGCATATACTCATCGGTGTGTAATGCAATGGTATCAACTCCATCATTTTAAATGGACTAGTTCATACAGTAACTACCAAATGGCTGTATGTTCAACAGATGCATGTTGTCTTATCCATTTCTTCATATAGTAATGAAGTAATGGAGAAAGCAAGAGTGATCGATTTCTGAGGACTCAAATGGTTTCAAGCATCTTCACCATTCTGTTCAGAAAGTGCTCGAACACTGGTATTCACCAACTGAAACCAGTTTACAGGCTGATCTGGTAAACCTGAATACAAAACACCAGAATGGTGAGAATAACAAAAGCATGCACCCAAACTTAACATTTTACCATGAGAATATGCTACTACACAAAAATGGCATTATGCAGAGAGTGCTAATGAAAAAAAAATGTTAATTAACTGAAACCAACAAAACTGCTAAGAGTGCTGGGAAGCTTTTTGGGCAAAAGACTCTTTGGTCTGTAGGACTTATCCAAATTAATTGATAATAACTAGATTTACCTAAATAAATATGATATATAATACAAGAATTAATAAGTGTTACTATATTTACATTAGTAAATTTAACAGATGATTAAAGTAATCCAAAAGAAATTAAGTTAGTGCAAGTGTTATGTTTTACAGTGAAGTGAGAGTGTTGAGTCATGTAGACCTCTTTAACCCTTACTGGATGCTTCCGTTTGAAGCGTGAACTAGTTAATTCTCCTTGGTACTCACCAAAGAGACTTAAGCACCCTTCTTCAGGGGTTCATGGTAAAGACGATGTGTCTAGAACCATGAACACTCAAAGAACGATCTAAATCCATAAACAGTTGTTGGCAGAGTTTCCATGATGGAAAACCTGTTGTATAGGGTTATTTAACCTTTTAAAAAGGGATCTATTGAGCAAGAAAAAAGGTTCTTCTGCTGTCAAAAGAACTTTTTGGTACTATAAAGAACACTTTGCCAAGGGTGTAACCATGACAGGAAATCCACAATAGTCATTTCCAATCCCTTTAGACTAGCCTGATGGGTTAGTAATGAGGCTCTTGAAGGTCAAAGGTTTCAAGAAAGATTAGGCTACTAAAACAAGACTAAACATAATTACACATCACCAAAATGTACTTTGGGAGGAAATGTGCTCTGAATTTACCTGATTCAAATGGGCACATAAACTTAAAATGGAAATAGTGCCTTTAATTTATTTGATGAGCTGCTTGAAATGTGTACATCAGTTCTATATAAAAAATCAACATGTTTCAGTTGGCTTGGGCTACTTGTAGCAATAATTCTAATTGTGAGTATAATTGATATAATCGCAATAATAATTGTGATCTGTTTCACGATGTGGAACCAGTGTACTCATTTTAGTCAAAGCACTTTTTTGTGTGTGTATTTCGCGCATTAGTTTACGCACAAAAGCCATTTCCAACGAAAAATCCTATTTTCAAGTCAGCGGCAATATGTTCCTCAGGAAATCTGGGTCATTTTGGAGTGCAGGGCTGAACAACAGCTTCTTTGAGTGTAGAGGGGCAGGTTTAGGTCCAGCACACCATTGCCGCCAAGTCTCATGGATTCAGGAAATAAGTGCAACATGACTAACTTTGTTCCCCTGTTTCCCCTCAACAGTTCTGCGAGTGCCTGAAATCCATCATCCGGGATCAGAGGAGCGTGCTTGTGGCAACAGTCCTCGGAGTGTGTTGCATGCTTTTCATGGGATTATCACCCTCCACAGCACTTCCAACCCTCCTCATCCTCTTCATCTTGTGGATGGCTGGATAAGAGACTTTTCTTGCTGTGCTCATACCCGGCTAAACCGGATCTGAGTGCTGTTTAATATTCAACTGTCTGCTTTCACGAAGACATTGAAATATCATTGTGTCAGTTTGATAGTTGGATATGTTTAGCACAGTTTAACAGTATTATGTTAAAGCTAACCCCTTATTTTTTGTACCTTATTCAGTCAACATTAATAAATGTTGAAACAAGCAGTACAAAAATTGTTTCTCCATATAACTGCTTTTCTCATGACCTGCTACAGCACTCTACAAACAAACCGGGAGAAAAATGACTAGATCTTAAAAATGCCTTTGTTGCTGAGTTCTTATAATCCTCTCCTTCAGTATCTGTGTTTAAATTACTGTATTATCCAGCGTATTAACAAAAATTACTGGCTTGCACAGGAAAGAAATTAATACACATGGTACATGGAAAATTGTAGTTTCCTGTAATTAATGAATTTCTTCATTGCCCTTACAGAACACTTTCAACGGTGTGTGTGGTTGGGTAAAAAGTGAATTGCATAATGAAGAAAGAATTTGAGAGAATTATGTTCTCACAGTTGCACCACCTATTTTTTACTTTATATAATGCACTTCATCTGGTTATGAATGACCTTTCCTCAGGGGCAAAGTGGGCTGAAATTAGAAGCTGATTACTGCTACTAGATGATTTCTTCACCCCTGCACAATAGAAGAGTGGGGCCACACTGGCATTGAGTAACCAATTATGTACTGTTGCACTGAGCATGTGATGTTCTTATTGATAAGTGTGTAAAAAAAATGGCCACAGCACCATAATCCCCTTGCCCCTCCCCAGCCTGTCTCAAGAGGGATAAAACTGTTAAGTGCCAAGCCTTCTAGAAAACTACTACATCCACCCTTGGAGGATGTTTCCTCTGCAGTTCCTCAGCTGCTTTTTCATTGCCCTGACCACAGACAAAAATGAAGAAAAAAAGAAACCAAAACAGGGCAAGTATGACATCTCTGTGTTTAAAAGGGGGGATCTCCTGGAGGTGCCTCGAACCCTCTTCACCCATTTTGGGATCTATCTGGGGAACAACCGTGTAGCGCACCTCATTCCTGACATCTTGCCGGTTATCTCGGCCGACAAGAGTGCCATCGCCAAGATGGTGACCAACAACCGGCTGCTTCTCGGAGTGATAACAAAGCAGGCCAGCGTCCGTGTGGACTGTGTGGATGACTTTGCGTACGGAGCGGAGATTCTAGTGAACCACATGGACAAGGTGTGTAGTCGGCCGCCGCTGGATGGAGAAGAGGTGGCCAGGAGAGCAGAGAAGTTGCTGGGCTCGGTGGAGTATAGTCTGCTGTGGTACAACTGTGAACATTATGTCATGTACTGCAGATATGGCACTAGCATGAGCTTTCAAACCTATCAGGTAAGATGCCACGTGAAACCTGCTGCAGTCTCTGTAGACTTGCATTTTGACACCATAGACACTCTTTTTTTGGGATGTTTTTCCTCTTCAAATTCTTATTTTCAGGGGGTCCTTTTGGATTTCTCCTAATAACTAGACACTTCAAAATAACCTTCTAAGTCTGCTAATCAGTAGTTAACTTGTGCATAATGGCTCTGAAATACCACCGAAAATCATAATTTACACCTTGTATTAAGCCATGTAGATTCCTATCACTGTAATATTGTATAAGAAATCTAAGATAGTGTCGTAAAAAAAAATGAAGTGATTGTAGGAGAAACTAATGAAACTTCACTTCTCTGTTGACTCCTCTCTCATCTTGCTGGGGAGCAGCCCTATTACAGTTTGGTTGTAGAAACATATGAGACTTTCCCAGCACACTCCTCCCCATTCAAAGTGATCTTAGACATACCATCTCTTCTTTGGCTTTTCAGAGCTGTGGGTCCCGACCCTAATCCTAGTGTCCTCCTTCTCTACACATTTTAGTGTTTTCTCTGCTCCAAATACATCTGATTGAACTCATGAGCTCATTAACACACCCTTCCTGAGTTGAAGTGGGTGTGCTAAAACAAAGAAAACATTAACACTTTCATGTGCATGGGTACTCCAAGACCAGGATCGGAAAACTGTTGCGGATCAATATCAGGCCAAAAATGCTAACATATTTGGAAATCTATCAACCAAAAAATGTAAATCACAGAAATGAAACACTCATGCAACTTTGGTTATTGCGAAAAATCTTGCACAAAGAATACAAATACTTGGGCAAGGACCATGGAATAAAAGACAAAATAGAAACAGGACAGGAGAAGGTGTTTAACTTGGTAGTAATAATTAAAGAAAATAGAGTAAGTATAGGATTATTGTCTGTATTTTAAGAATTAGAGCTTAAGAATTAGCATGAAAATATAACTGGGCCATGTTTGCCTTGTAAAACTGAGGTAAGCTCACTAAGGACTGGACAAAGCCCCTTTGTGAGTATGCCTATTTTAAATGAATTACACGTATAGAAGAGTGGAGCCACTAATTGCATAGAAAAAAAGCCAATTTCTGATTAGATTAACTAGGAAAAAAACAATTGTACTGAATGCTTTTATATTCATCTGTGAAGATATGGGTGTTGTGATGTGAATGCTGTCAAATCGAGTCTTCCGTTATAGCATGTAGCCTAATAACATTTAGTTGTCCATATGTTGTCAGAAATATAGCAAAAATCTAAAAGTAAAATACATAACCAGCTTTCTGGAAATGAATACATGAACACATTACATTCACTCCAAGCAGTGCTGGGATTTCACATAGTTCTTCTATCTTAGTTTGATTCTTAGTTGATTTACACTTTTAATGAAACTTTAATCTCCAGTTTTCCCTCCAACCACTATCAATCAGTGAATTACATAATAAATATCATTGCACTTTGCACAAGATAATTGTCTGTTGTCTGTTCAAAAAAGTCTACCATCACGAAAGCACACTATCACCACCTGGTGTTTAATCTGTGTAAAAACAAAACCACTCACCTGAACTTGCACATTCTTTCTTTCTCCTTTTTTTTTTTTTATAGTTTTGCAAAATCGTCCGGAAGATTGTGTTCAGCAAGACAAGCTCGTTCCTGACCCTTCTGCTGTGCCTGTTCACTATAGTTTACCTGGGCTGTGTGTCTGTCTACAGCATCTTACTTACAGCGGTCATCCCCTTCGCCATATGGATGGCATCGTGATCCCCTCCTACAGGTCAAGAGAGGGCAAGATTTAGTGATATTAAAGTAATTTATTGCATAACATTATTAACTGCATATTACAATGAGGTACAGACTATGATTCATAACTATGATAATGACACTATTGCTGGTGCAATTTAATTGTAAAGGGTATAAAATGTAAAGATTGTTAAGGATGATGGAAAGTTCTTGATTGAACTTTGTTACCATTATGTGACTATTCATGCATTATGTGAAATAATTTATTTTCATATTGTAAAATAATTAAACATCAAGTGGTCAATGCTAAATAAATAATTTTTTGTTAGCGTTTGTTTTGATGACTCTGTCTCTCTCACTCAACATAAATGTACACTCTCTTTCTCTGCACTGTTTATGAACTGCTTATATTTCAAATTTGGATAATATTGAGAGACCCATACCAGTGTGTGAATAAATACACACTGGAAGGCCAACGTTTGAACAAATAAAAATCCATCTCTGTAGAACGGTGATTTCTAAGCGCCTCTCAAAATGGGTGTATCTGTGTGCATGGTGAAATGAGGTGGAGTTTAACATATAACTGCTGAATCTTTATTATAATTATTTAATATAGTGCCAGAATTATTGGCACCATTTAAAGAGACAAGAAAAATTCAATGGAAAAAATGATTGTACACCAAAATAATCACTAAAAATATATATAAGAAATCTAACCCTTCAGTGAGGATAACAGCTCTGCATCTTCTCTCATAATATTAGACGAGCGACTGGAGAACATACAGAAAAGCATTTAAGCTGATTCCTCTGTGCAAAATCTCTCTAGATGCTTCAGTCTTTATTCCTCACTAATAGACTCTCCTCTCTTGAACAAGAGTTTGGTCAGTGGACTGGGATGTCCAGAACAAAAGATAATTCGGTGGTCAATTAATCATTTTTGTGTTTATCTGATTAGTCAGATAGAAGAAGGCTGCCAATAATTCAGGCATGGTACAGGTAATGTACTGTAAAAGAGAAAAAAAAAGAGTGAGTGCAAAAGTGCAAAGTGAGTCCTACAAACATCAGAGGAAAATATCATCACACAGCACAAAACATGAAAGCTATATAATGAAATCATCTCAGCAAGCTAAGACAACAAAATAAGAAAATTATAATCTAATAATATTTATACAAAGTAACATACACATTCAGAGCCACACACACATATGCAAGACAAAAAGCCCCCTTTTCCAATTTATTTCCTCAATAAAGGACATACAGTAGAATTCACCCCTATGAGAAATTCTGTTTCTTCCTTGAAGAAAATATTGAATATGCTTATTATCACATTTTTTATCAAGCATATTTATGGAATCCAAAAACTGTTCCACTGTTTTATGACTTTTAATAAGGTGAGTGAGGCCATCAGCAATCGATCTACTCTAATCAAAGAATTTTATTCTTTAAAGCGGACAGGGAAGCCATGTGTAGCCATAAATTGCTCAAAAGAAAGCACATTTTCAGTTGTCTCAGATCTCGAAAGAATATTGTTAATATTTCTTTGAAACCATTTGGAAAGGAACAAAGATTTATTCCTAATAGGTATTTTAGAGACTTTCCATAAAAGTGTTCTATATGGTGAAACACTGTGGACAAAGAACAGTTTCCAGCCAGGGAGAGCTCGCTGATGTAACTTGATAAGAAAAAATGGCAGATTATTTGGCAAATAATAACATTTGATAAGAAAAGATAAGCCTCCAATTTCGCTAAATACATGAAGGGGAATTAGAAGCAATACCGAATGTGGGTTTGTGAGACATCTTCTGATCCAATTAATTCTAAGTGTATTTATAATATTAATACAGTCTAGTAGTTCCAAACCACCTTCTGCTCTGCTGTTAAAAATCAATTTATAAGGTCCAGAAATATTTTATTGATTTCATGAGCAGGTGAATAGATAGAGAAGGACATAGAGAACGAGACGTCCCTTAGCATTGCATAAAATAGCTCATATAGCCAAGGATAAATCTCTCTAAAGCCAGAGGCTGAAACATGCTTAGTGTTTTTTTCAGGCTGCCAGGTAAGTTAGAATGTTGTCTGGCTCTAAGAATTTTTTTTATTTTTTTTTTTTTGGAAAATCCAAGTTACTTAACTGTGTCTTTGGCTGAAATAAGGTTATCAGCACTCATGAAGAGACATCTTCTCACATTTGGCCTTGCTCAGGTTTACACACAAAGTGGTGGCTTACCGTATGAAGAAGATTGGTTGTTGCCGAGTAAATCATCACACACACCACTGGTTCATATGTACTTCACTGGTCGATCTTATCGACAGCAAAAGCCACAAAAGTTGCTACAGCGGCCTCTACTGGGACTCAGTTGGCGGTTTTAACCTCCACCCCGCAGACAGGAAAACTGGTGCTTTCCTACTTTATTTAAACAATAAGTATGTAGTAAAAATCGTTGGGAAGTTGACCAGCGCAACATTTACATAACATTACACGCAACTTAGCAAGCTAACGTTAGCCAAACGAGTAACGTTAATCAAGACTTCATGAGATGAAGGTTTCTTGGTTCAGTTTGTAACAAGACGTCATATGTTTGACACTTTATTAGCAATTTAACTTTAGTTTTAACCGTTTTTAAATTTTTGTTCCTTGACGAGTCAGCTGACCCACGCTGGAGGTAGTTTAATCCACTAGCTACATCACTTATAGCTAGTTAGCTACTCTTGCTAACGGATATTGCCTTAGCTTCGCAAGCGGCAGTGCTTGGCTGCAAAAGCCCGACTGATTATTTTCTCGAGCCAGCGAACCTGCACTGGAGTTAATTTAATGTATATTAATTTCTAGCTAGCTAGAGAATTAAATTAGTTAGTTGGGCAGGCTAGCTAGTTAACGAACTACTCCGTAACGCAAATTCTCCCTAAACGCAAATTACCTCAGTTTAGCATGCAGCGGTGCTAAGCTGCCAATAACGACATTGCATAGCCCAACTGAGATAACGTTATACGCTGACCTCGTACGGAATTGAAAGCCAAGCATCATGTAACGTTAGCTTTATGTGTTTATGTACTAGTAACCTTATTAGCTGATTACTGTGTTATCACAAAGTTTTCAACTGATGTTTAAAGTTAGCTCTAGTTAGCTAGCCCACGTTCCCGCTGGTCTGTTGTTACTTTGCTAGCTGTAACTTTACATGTTGTTCATGATGTGAAGCAGAAGTAGGTTAGCTAGGTAAGGTTAACATATTTAGCTAGTTCCTCTGCATGTAGATTTCACTTCAGGTAGTGGTACTATAATGTAGCACATAAAATAAAAATGTTTGTCATAAGCATAGTTAAAGATAAATCCATAAATATAATATCAGGAATAATGACCTGTCGATGAGGCCACCTTACTACCTGAACGTTTCTGCACGCCTAACAATTAACAATTAGCTAACTTTAGTTCAAGTATTGGGTACTTAATGAGAGTCACCTCATAGTTGTTTTGTAAACACCAGCTTCTGTTCACAGGGCTGGTGTTAGAGGAATGTACTTAATGGATGTAATAAGAAATGCATTTTTGTTAAAATGCATATTGTTTGTATAGTTGAAATCAGCAATGCAGGCATATTCAGCTTTTTATGCAGGAAACTCTTTGCGTCACAGTATAAATACCTACAGGCCACTTCATTAAAACCACTTTCTTGTTTATACACCCATTGTCCATTTCATCAACTCTATTAACCATATAGGTGCCGTTTGTGGTTCTACACTTACATGTGCTCCCGCTGTTTATCTGTATACTATGTTAGCCCCCTTTCACCCTTTCTTTGGTGGTCAGGACCCCATTGGCCCACCACAGATGATTATTTATGTGGTGGATTGTTCTGGGGACTGCTGTGACTTTTAAGTGGTGTCGTGTTTGTGTGTTGTGCTGGTACAAGTGGATCAGTGTCACTCAGGACCTCAGTGTCACTGCTAGACTGAGTATAGTCCACCAACCAAAAATATGCAGCCAATGGTGTCCTGTGACCACAGATGAAGGACTACAGGATGATCAACACAAACTGTACAACAACAGATGGGCTTTCATCTCTGACTTTACATCTACAAGGTGGACCAACAAGGTAGGAATGTCAAATAGAGTGGACAATGAGTGGACACAGTGTTCAAGAACTCCAGCAGCACTGCTGTGTCTGATCCACTTGTACCAGCACAACACACACTAACCACCACCACGTCAGTGTCACTGCAGAATGATCCACCACCCTGAGCTGATAGCAACAAATAAGTAGAAACAAGGAGGTGGTTTTAATAAGTGGCTGGTCGGTGTATGTAGTTTAAAGCTGTTATTTGGTTTATAGAAGCGTTTGCTCTCTAGGATTGTGTTTCTCGCTGGTCCTTAAAACAAGTTGTTTTCTAACAAGTTGTCATAAAACACTGAGAAAAATATTAAACTCCAATCAAGGTAAAATAATTTAAAGAAAAAAAAAAACTTTCAGCAGAAATAACTTATTTCCCTGGATTTTAACTCCAGTCCTGGGGACCCACTGCTCTGCACAGTATCAGGTATTCTCTGCCCTCAGGAAACCTGATACAGCTTGTGAAGAGCTTGATAATTACTTAATGAGCTGGATCAGTTCTGTTGGGCAGCAGATAGTTAACAACTTTGCAGGTCCGTGGGCCTGCAGGACTGGAATTGAAAACCACAGCTTTAAGAAACATAATAAACAATGATAAAAGAATTGTCCACTGTTGAGACTAGCACTACAGGAAATAAACTGTATGGTTTTACAGTGGAAAATCAGATTTGCTGTCACAACATTATACTTCAGCCGTTTCACGTGTTTGAGGATGTGAGATTAGAAGTATTTGTTTTGTGTTTTCTAAGGTGGTAATGGAAGAACACAGTCGGAATTGCCAGGACGGTAAGATGGAAAGCCCAAATGAAGCTGCTCTCTTGGCCCTAATGGAGAAGACAGGATACAGTATGGTTCAGGAAAATGGACAAAGAAAATTTGGTGGCCCACCACCGGGTAAGGGAAAAGTCCTACGGATTGTAGTAACCCAAAAACATAAAAAAAATCTCTCTTTGCATTAAAGAACATGCAGTGCATTGTTGGACTTGCACATGTGGTTACTATAGGCGAAAAGAGATTATAAAGTATGTTTTGTTGTAGTGAGTAACAGCACTTTATCCTACAAAAGTAAAAATATTTTAATTTCTGGTGGTTAATGAGTTAGCAATGTTATATATTTAACGATTTCACTCATTCCAAATGATTTTTGTATGTTATATAAATGAGAAATGGTAAATATGACCAAACTATATCCGAAACACAGTAGGATAAATCTCATCTAAGATCGTAAATGTTTCAGATAAACAAAGATTATACATCTTTGTTCTAGGCTGGGAAGGCCCCCCCCCGCCAAGAGGCTGTGAGGTGTTTGTGGGGAAAATTCCGCGGGACATGTATGAGGATGAGCTGGTGCCTGTGTTTGAACGCGCAGGCCGCATCTATGAGTTCCGTTTGATGATGGAGTTCAGTGGGGAAAATCGTGGCTATGCCTTTGTCATGTATACCACCCGAGAAGCTGCGCAGCGAGCCATCCATCTTCTTGACAACTATGAGATTCGTCCAGGGAAGTTTATAGGAGTATGTGTGAGTCTAGACAACTGTCGGCTCTTTATTGGCTCCATCCCAAAAGACAAGAAGAAAGAGGAGATACAAGAGGAGATGATGAAGGTAAGTGTTTTAATTAAGAGAGAGCATTAACTATATTTATTAAATATATGCAGATACCATCTTGAGGAAATTGAGTGACATGGTTGCTTTTCAGCCAATCTGACTGAATAAAATAGATATTAAGACATGCCATATTTTGGGTTGTTTTATGGTAGAAATTGTATTACTTTTCCTTTGATGAGGTCTTAAAAAAAGGTATTAAAAAGCATTGAATTTGACATAAAAACACTAAGTAGAAAACTAATGGGCTAGCTTGGATGCAAGACAAATTGCTTATAATTGATATAATGGGTTCAGTAAAATGACCTCTGTGAAACAACAGTTTTTGAGAAAAAAAATAGGAAAATAGTTTTTACACCTTAAAATATACATATTTTTAAATTGAGGCGACGTTTAGATTGAAAAGAAACTGTCATCTGTGTATCCTGTTAGTAAATGCTGGGTTTAAAGAACTTGCACCCAAGTGTATTGCAATTAAAACTTAAAGCTGTTATTGAGTGATTTGTGTGTTTTCACAGACTTCACATTCGTATGTAAAAACTGCTAAATGATATTCATCAAACTGAAACTGTTTTGGGGGATTTCTTTTTGACAACTGTTCCTTTTACAGTTTTTTTTCCCAGCTTTTTGTGCCATTTAATTCCTAACTTTTTCCTTCAATGTCAAAATTAGGTGACTGATGGGGTGGTGGATGTTATTGTGTACCCCAGTGCCACAGACAAAAGTAAGAATCGCGGTTTTGCGTTTGTGGAGTATGAATCGCACAAAGCTGCTGCCATGGCCCGCAGAAAACTCATACCAGGTATTTAGAAGTCAGAGGATTAAAAATAGTTATGTTGTGTACTCGGCTTGGTCTTACATTGCAGATATTATTCAGGAAAGACTATCTGATTTCGCTTATTAGGTTAGCCTGTTAATTGCTGAAAGCACTTTTGGCACAGACTATATACGTTGTATTACTGGAAAGACTGAACTGAATATCTGTGACTTGGACTTTTTTAGGTTGGCAACATTAGATTTTGTAATTATTGTTTATTTTATCAGGAACGTTCCAGTTGTGGGGGCACACTATTCAGGTTGACTGGGCTGAACCAGAGAAGGATGTAGACGAGGAGACAATGCAGCGTGTACGGGTTCTGTATGTGCGCAATCTTATGTTGCACACCACAGAGGAGACGCTTCGGTCTGAATTCTCTCGTCTAAAGCCTGGCTCTGTGGAGCGCGTTAAGAAGTTGACAGACTATGCCTTTATCCACTTCCACAACCGTGAAGATGCACTTGCTGCACAACAGTCCATGAATGGCAAACTTATTGATGGCTCGCCCATTGAAGTTACTCTCGCTAAGCCAGTCAGCAAAGACGGGAGTCGAAGATTTGGAACACGGGCCAGCCATAATGGAATGGCGGTAGGAGGGCTGTATGGTGACTCCAACTTTCTTTTACAGAGCAAAGATGACTCTGGGATCAGCTTGGGTACAGGGATTATGAGTGAAGGGTTATACGCTCGTCCCCTTAGCTTACCACCTCGCTGGGGCAATCCTTATGCTGTGGACTTAGAACGCTGTGTGTATCCGTTCCTGCCAGGATCTACTCTGGTACCAGTTAGTCTGCAGACTCTCAAACCCATCCAGCTGAGCTCTGCTGTATCATTGCTGGAATATTACTGCCACAAGAATGGATGGTCACTGCCAGAGTATTACCTTTACTCCACAGCAGGGCACGAAGGAAAAACACTGCTCATCTATAAAGTCGTAATCAGCAGCACCAGAAGCAGCTACATGCCTGATAAAGTTTGTTCCATTTTGGAGGATGCCAAGGAACTTGCTGCTCAGAACGCACTTTGGAACCTTGGTTAGTCTTTTTGTCTGTCTGTCTCTTCAGATTCAGAAATAGGTCTGCCATCATTTTTAGCCACTGTGTGCAGTTATTATATGGCAGTGTAAAAACTCACTAGCAATTATTGAGTTACTGCATGTGAGAAAATCACACGTCAAGTCATGCTACAAGCTTCAGCAATTATAATCATGCAGACTTAAACTTCTCAGCAGCTATAACCATATAATATTGTAATATAATGTGGTCTTTTATGTCAGTATGATTTCTTTTGAATGGAATCTAGAACACAATTTCTGTATGTAGTCAGTTGTAGTTTATAGATTAGAATATTTCATAATGTTGATTGTATTACTTTGCCCTTTGCCATGATTGTGGTAAAAGCATTAATGCGTATTAATGTGTGTGTGTGTGTGGCTCTGTAATCTACAGATTCATCATTCCAGGTTCCCGGTTCCCCTGGGAGTTTTACTCCCCCTGCGTCACCTGGTTTGCTGTCATTTCCGTGTCGATCTCTGCCATATCCAGGATACTCCATGGCGCCCATCTCACCTCCCCTACCCATTCCTGGTGCCGGTGGACAGAGGCTCTACATTCCTAGCCAGTCATCCTTCTTCTGATAAAGCCATATTTTGGAAGCAAAGCAGGTTTGGTTATGCTGTTTTCTTTGTTTTTGTTTTTTTCTTAAATTTTTGGGAATTACTTAGCCTAGCTGAGTTTGATAGTAGCTATTTTCAAGTTTAGATTTTTTAGTTACTGTCTTTTGCAGATCGTATTCACATGTTCTCTTTGAGTATTAATGTGCCACAAAATCTACTTTTGTGTTTTTACTCGTAAAGCAAGTTATCTTATGTCAGAAAGACAGTTGAAGTGTGACAGTGTTTAAAGGTCTGACCACAGCAGTTTAGAACTCCACAGAAGGGGTCACCTAAAGTTTTTTGTTTTTTTGTTACTGTCTTCAAGAGACAGTTCTTGGCCCTACTCTTTGTCCAGGTTTGATATTCAACCTCTACAATGAAATGCAAATTCTGCTAAATGCTAAAAAGACACCAACACATTTCCACCATTTATCAGTTCTTAAACAGACCACTTGCATAACCAGTAGTTTTGATTGTGCTGTAGTTTTACTTATGTTTTTTATGTATTTTGCTTAATGGTTATTTGGATGCTCAGTTAACTCCAAGTTCATCCAATAGCCCACCCAAAAAGCTGCCTAAAAATATATATATTTTTGTCCATTTTCAAAGTGATTTTTTTATTTTGTGTTTGTTTTAAATTTGTAGTATATTAATTATCTGTTTTCAATTTAGTGTTAGAATAATAAACACCAGTTTGCATTCTGTTTTTTATTATTTTCCTATTTGTTAAAATACCCATACCCAACAATATATTGTCAAAAGCATTGTAATGTCATGTTTAGAACCTTAAAAGTTGAGTGCATGCACATATATATATATATATATATATATATATATATATATATATATATGTGTATATATATATATATATATTATCTTGTTACACATTAACTTGTAATGGCTACAGTGGTCAAACTAAATCACGTGAATATCCAAAGAAATTAATGTAGAACAGAAAAATTCATGTTTTATTCCTGTTGGCTTTCACCAAAATGACTATTTATTATAAAGAACTTAATTAATTGTCAAAATAATCTGTCTTGAATTGTCCATAATGATTTAGAGAATCAAATAAAGGCCTATTTTATGTGCCCCCACTGAATATTTTATTGAACACAGCATTTAGATGAACTTAAATCTGCCCATCATTACAAAGTTATGTCATTTGAAACGAGGAAGTGCCCAACGCACAATACTACGGAATGGATTTAGAGCCCCTCTGTCCACCCAAAAATGCTGTGTTTTAGTTGAATTTGCTGTTCTAAACAGTTTCTCCATAAACATTTTTGCAGTGTTTTTGGAATGTGTTTTAACATAGATTGTTTGCCAAAATATTACTGTCTTAAACACCTCCTGTTCATGTAGAATTTCTTAACTGTTTGAGATCATGTTAACTTGATGTTGATTAAAAGAGATAAGGCAACACATTTTGAGCTTGACTTCATGTTACAACCCGGGCCTAATTTCTGTCAAAGTTAAAATCTTGAAAACCAAATCATGGTTTTAAAAATGTTTTAAAAATTACAGGATGTTTATAGATATAAGAGAAGTACACAGATAGTTATTTTGTTTGAATGCCTCTGTGACGTTTAATACTGTTGTTGCCAGTGGTTACTTCATTGTTTTAGGATTATAAGACTGATGCATCAATTAGAAAATACAGCCACACATTTTCTTTCAGTTTTAGTTTTGCTGCTTGAATATAAAGCATCAGATGTGTTGTATTTTGAGCTAGGGAATGGAGATACTCTACTAAGCAGGTGTTTTTTCTGGCTCTTCAAGTTTTTGGAAAAGACTTGAGAGTGCTACTCAATATTTCAGTCTACATACAGATTTTTTATGTTCTTTAATGTAGACACCCCTATTCATACAATGGCTTCAACTCTACCATTTATATTTGTTTTATAAACAAATTTCAAGAATGTTACCATAAGCCTCTACATCAAAATGTGTTTAAGATTTGGAAACGCGTACATTCAATCAGGTATGTCCTAATTTTTAAATGGTAACGGGCTGTGCAAAAAAACTATAACAATAATTATCGCGATATAACTTTCCTCGATAGAGCTATAGGAAAAGTTTGATAAATGTTCGATATAATAGAGCAATAGACATGATTTGGGGGGGGGGCACAAGTAAAATGAGTTCCCAAATATATTTTAGCAACGCCTGAAACGTGCAGTTATATGTTCCCCTTTTGAGTGGAGCGATCAGCGATCTGTTCTCCTGTGACCAAGTGTGAGTGACGCAGCGAATGTCAGATATATTGCAGTTCACCCCTCAAACTACTGCAATAGAATAGAGAAATCCGGACGTCTGCTAGCTGGTGTTTGAATACTGTGACTCTGACTCTGACATGGATGTGGTAGGAGTGATGGCAGTAACACGGTGTGATCAATCATTGGCGTACCGAACCAGCTAATGTTTGCTGTTTGTACTAAGCTGACGTTGTTGAGAAGCTAAACAGTTTAAAACTTGTACCCAGATACCTAGCACTCGTCACCAGACAGCTAAAATAATCTGTTTTCTCTCTTAAATTATGAATATTACAAAAATTGCGGCCATGCTTTGCGGCCAGGCTGGTATAAACAGCTCACCAGAAACTTTCTCCCACTATCCCTTGACAGATTTGTGAAATGTTTCACTTTTTGGCAAGTGCTTGTCATGTTCTGACCATAAAGGGTATTTTAAAACAGCAACTGACCACCCAGGAGCAAAAATCAGCCTTCAAACTTGCAGGAAATAATGATTCAACATTCATCGCGATATGTATCGATATCGAACAATATGATTTTTTTTTATCGTGATAAGATTTTTGCCCATATCGCCCAGTATATCACTTTTTGCAACTTACAGTGCTTTGTTTAACAAACGAAGTTATAAGGAAAATATTGATGATCTTATCTAATTTAGTCTATTTCAGTGAATGCCAAATAGCCAGTCAGCCTAGAGTTAGAAATAGATTCTGTTCAGGATATCAGTGCGCAGTTTCAGGATTCTCAGGGCAAAAACTCCTCCAACTCCTCCTTTTGTACAAAACAAAAGCAAATATAGTGAAGAAAGTTACATAGAGGACAGTCACTCGCATAATACAGGTCATCTGACATACATCTAACATCATGCTTTTCTGTAGTAAATAAACATCCATAATGGTAGTCTCACGGGAACTGTCTGGCATATAAGTCTACTGAGTTTGTTTTAATTGTGTACCTCAAGCTGTGCTGCTTTCCTGCCTTAACAAATAAAAAGACAACATCATGAAAGGTTTTGCTGCAGTAATGCAGGGCTAGAGTAATAGATTTCACTCTTCTGTAAAGAAATGTTTTACAAAAGGGTGTTTTTTTTCATCAAAATTCTCAAAATACTAATACAGAGCAGTGAGGGAGATTATTTGCTAATGTGAAACAATATTTAAGTTATTTTTCAAATAATAATTTTTAATTAATGTAAGTTTTAATCATAATTAATCATATTATGCTCCATGGCTCACTCTAGGTGTGTGTATGTGCCTGCGTGCCAAACAGGCCTAATTGTGTCAGTGGCTGGGGCCTAAAGGGGCACACATACACAAAGATTTTTTTGTACTATGTACTATTAAGAATGTCTTTGAGAGGATAAACACATACATAGAGAAACTCAGTGGTAACCACATTAATGGTTGATTTGATTCCATAGTTAATTACACTTTTCTCTGTTGGTTCTTTGTCCCTCTGGGTGTGCAGGCCTCTGTGGGTATGTGGAAGGCGTCTCTATGTGCTTGGGCTTTGTCCTGAAGTGCTACATATGCTTCAACCAAGCCTAGGAAACACTGCTCAGTCCCATCTTGAACATGCATTGTAACTATGATTGGGACACTGGGCCATTGTTTAGGAGCCCTGGCCTACACACACACACACACACACACACACACACACACACACACATAGCTTGGACCATAACTTTACCCATTTTACCCATTTCATGTACCAAACATATATTTTAGCACTTTCTTGTTCAGTCACAATTAGGCATAACCTGTTTAGTCACAATTAAGGGATAATCAATATATTCTAACTCATTTTATACTCTCTTGATCAATGAAAAAGTGGAAAAGAGGGATCTGTTAGTTGATGTGATATGATGTAATCAAGAGCATAGCCAAGTGTGTTTTAACTTGTAGATAATAATAATCAAATGCATTATTTATGCATTATATACATTATTTAATGTAATGGTATATTAATAAAATAAAATGAGCTGAAATGGCTAATGAAGGATGACATGGCCCTTTTAGAAGAAAAACAAAGGTGTTTGTCACAGAAGGCCAAAGCTAACTGAAGAAACAATGTGTATGTAAAAGGTACAAAATTGTTACTATTATAATAGAACTCAGTATAGTCAGAGTTGCATGTGACGGTAAGCCAGAACAGGTCAGATGAGGTAATAGGGGTGGGTACCCCGTCCAGAGCAGTATGAAAAATGTTAGATTTTTCCTGTTTAAATTTATGTATTAGTCTTCTTGATGAAAAAAGTCTGGGGCTTAATTTACAGAAAACAGTCGCACTTAAATCGCAGTTGTGTTGATCAGAAAAGTCACAATCAATATTTTTCCCATTCAGCCCTAACATAACGGTATGTACCACACCTTGCAGGAGTGGACAGAACACCATGCAGTACAGACATTGTATAGAAGTCCCATAACCACTGGGCTCTTAACATCAGGATATTTTGCAGCCACAAGAGTGCCAACATCCTGTTTTTTAAGACACCATTTATATAGCACAACATGTTTATTATTGCGTCTTTCAGTCCGACGCACTATTACAATTCCAACAGAACTATGTACCAGTGCTGTAGCTTTTTTTGGGTGATTTACCTATTAACATACAGTGTTGGAATGTACCAAGATGGAGACATTTTAATTGAGTTCATAGTAGATGTTAAAAGTCAGAAGGAAGACATAGCATTTTACTACTGTATTATCATGTAAAATGGTTATGCTT